AACATACAAAAGTAACGCCTTCATCTAAACGTGACAGATTTCGTGTTATTTGTCTCTTTCATTTCCATCAAATAGGATACAAAAATGAGATGTTATCTATGTGTGTGTTCGTATCTGGTTTTGAGGGGGATTCCCAACGGCTTTCCTTTAACTTAATGTCGAATTCCTGTCATATTTGTGGTTGAGGATGCATCATGTTTTTGACATATTCATTACTATTGCGCTGTTTTAGTGTACTAACTTAAACATACAGGGAAAAACTGCAAAACTACACAATGCGCAATTCAGTCCTAAAATATTCATAAGTAAATGTTAACAAGGTTATCGAATTACATAACCGTGATTGTTAAATTATTTCACAAACACCTGGTCTTACTCTCCTTGTGTTTTTTTTATAAGCTCTCCGTGTATTTTTTTCTTTTATTCATATTATGACTATTTTATTGAATTTGAGTTTGGATTTTGGTTATGTTCCCATGTTGCTATTTTTCGTTGGCATGTCAATAGACTTGATTCTTACTTTTAAGAATTAATCATTTACAAAAGGAAACTAGTCAGAAGCGGACACAGATTTTTGACAGGGAATTTCATATTTCAATTTTTTCAATTGTGTGTTAACAATCCATAAAATTCACATACAATATATGCAATTTTAGCTGACCAATTTTTATCAAACAGCTGTTGTTGTCTGGGCTCATGGCATTTTGTAATTCCTCATTCAGCTGTCAACTGGATGTTCCCAAACAAACAGGTGATGTATACGATAGCTCACCCTTTAAGCTGGTACTTTTTATCCGATTAAATATTTTTGTTTCATCTTCCAAAGCGAAATAAAGCCCCTCTTATCTGTAATAGAATTGCAAAAAATCAAAGTCATAAACTTTGAACTATGAAGTAAATTGATAAAGTTTAAACATAAGATTACGGTCGTCATAGTGATTTCATATTCTGTTTATTCGAAGCTGGGCGTGTTTGAAGCTCATTAGTTTATATATCTGTTCCGTTGTTTTATATAGTGTTCTCATGCGAGAACCTGATAGTACTTTCTTGGATTGTACAAGATTTTACATGGCAGATGGCGTCCATGAAGCAGAAGACGCTTACTCTCCTGGAACACATGGTTTTATGCTTACTGTAATTTATCGGGAGTCACCGTGTAAAACTTTCTGTCATATTTTGCGTTAGTTATATTGGATTTTAGTTAAGATTATGATTATGTTGACATGTCGGTATTTTCTTGTTGTTTTTCTGAAGGGGCGAGTGTTGTTTTTGATCGGCCGTTCATGTCTTGTAATTCTAGGTTAAATTGTAGGAATTTAGGGGCAATCTACGCCTATAACCCTTCGAAAGATATCATGGAATGCCTCACGGTTATTTCAAAATTACGGACTTACATTAAATGTTAGACATGTTTGTATTTCCATTTTATTTACATACAGAAAAAAATGTGCAGCTACATATAAAGAATACATGAAATGTGATAATATAAGCTGTAATTTGGCAAGATGAAGAAAGACAAATATGGCGAGCCTTTTACGTAGTAAATAAACCTTATTTTTAAACAAATAAAATTGCTTATTTCAACAGGTATTTATATTTCAGTAAATCAGAAAGTAATTTTGTCGTATTAATGCACGTGCAGAATTACAACTGTTTTCTGTCACTGCCGATTACTGTAAAAACATGTGGCAGGTGTATTCCGACACACACACACACACACCACCACCACCACCACCACACACACACACACCACACACACCCTCACACACACACACCCTCACAAACACACACGCACACACACACACACCACCACCACCACCACCACCACCACCACCACACACACACACACACCTCACACACCCTCACACACACACACACACCCTCACACACCACCACCCTCACACACCACCACCACCACACACACACCCCCCCACACACACACAAAGAAGAATACTCACGAGATACACTGTGTCCAGTGCCGTAAGCTGCATGTATTTATCTCTCAATAAACAACACTGGAATTTTAGATACCAACAGAATGACTAACAAAGTCTTTGGTAAAATACGCACATTGCATCGTAATGAATAAAAAATAAAAACGAAAGAGAGAATGTAATCGTAATCTGAATGTTTTCATTGGATACTCTGTATACAAAGTATTGTACACAATACACTCAAATGAATGGCATACATAAATACAGATTAAGAATGAGGTTCAGAATAGCCAAATAAAGTAATTCTAATGATATATTAGGAATTAAATTATTTTAAAAATGAAATTATTTTCTTCTATTCATTTTGAAAGTTTTGTAGACTTTAATGTTTGGAGAAAATCAACATTATTTTACGGAAGTTATATCTGCATTTAGAATTAAATAGGGGTGCCTGATCACGAAGAAACCCGCCTATATATTATGTAGCCTTCAAGACAGAAGTACTGATTTATTACGCTTCAGTTATACAATAATTTAGATTGCCTATAATTGATAAGGAAACGGACCTCTCCCGTTTGTATTGGATTCATTTACTTCACAAGATTCCATGTAAACAGCTGATCATCAAAATCTTTATCAAAACTGCTAACTACTATTCTTGATACTATCAAATCTGGGTTACAGTCTTAGTGTGATCCTATTTACTCAAGAAGTGCTATTAAAAGTATGAGAATTGTAAAGAAATCCGAAGAGCTCTTCAACACCCTCTTCTAAAAAACTTCCTTCTATAAGACCGTTTGATTTTTTTTCTACTCTGTACCTCACCATACCCCGTTCTAAACTTAAAGAACACATTAGTTTTCTTGTAACGAGAACTTTCTTTTCCAAGAAGAAAAGTAAACGGTAGTACAAATACATGGCTGTGAACTAAACTGAAGTGTATTTTCCGAAAATACGTTCAAATCAAAGAAGAAATATTCAGAGAACGGAATCATAAAAATAATCGTGAGAGAAAAAGAAAATGGCTGTCATAGCATTTAAATTGGATGTCGGTTCAATCCATTAAATAGTGTCACCAGGACAGGGCCGTCTCGGGATACGTTCAGGCTAAACTGAGCTTAATCCCATTGGTGAAACCAGAGAAGAATATTTCCAGGTCATAAAGCAGTAAGACAATAGTGACGTGTTTGTTGAATCACTGAAAGGAAAACATTTAACACGAGACATTATAGCAGGTATACGGAAACTATAACACATCAAACATATTCTAATCACTATCTATTCATCCTACACTCCATTGTACTTTGTTGCAAGCATTACAGGATCATTTGGCTCATACAAAGATACTGGTTGCTTTTGAAAGCCATCTACGGGTCGTCAAAATATTTATGATGTTTGAAAAACAATACTATGAATTACCTGATATTCACCTACATGTCTCCCATTTTTCGAAAGACGACGTGATGCTTTGTCATTCATATTTATAATAATCGGTCCATGACAATATTACGGACCTGCGTCATTTATAATGGATTCATAACTCAATAAGCATTGATAATTCCAGACTCTGCTGATGCTGTTTTTAGGCCTAAAAATCATCTTACAACGTTTCTTAACTTTATCAAATCAATCTGGTTTTCAAGTCTCATTGTGACAAGATGTGCTGAGTAAGGAACTGATTGTTGTAGGGTTTGAAAACTCCATGCAACGTTTACTCAATTATTAATATCCTCCACTACTGAACATCATCTATTCTATAGAAACATTTCACTTTTACAGTTAATTACAAAATCAAAAACTCTATTGTTGTCGTGTTTTAAGGATATTAATTTCTCAGGAAAACATTTGTCTTTGAACTATAATGAAGCATTATTAGTTCTTGATAAAATCGAGGGCGTTTGTTATTCTGCTACATCTCGTCTGATAAACCTCCAGCATATTCAAGATCGTTCATGTAAATATTCCTTATGTTTGTCGTTTTCTCAGCCATTAGGAGTTAGGATCATGGGTTTACTTGTGTTTGTGTGTTTCTTTAGTATTACCTAAATTGTATGCTGGATTACATCAATCTTTTTTCTAAGATATTAATGGACATTTTTATTTCGTGCCCTCGGAAAATATCCTTTTTAATGTCTCATCTCTTTAATCATTCTCTCGAGGGCATTAAAGCAGGTGACAGAATTCGGACAACGCCAGTTTACTGCTGACAGAATGCGGACAACTGATTTGGTTTTTCCTCGAAAATTTCACTTTCAGAGCATATCCGGTTTCTTATAAAATCTTAAATCACTTTCCCCACAAAAATCCTGACACACACTTGCCAGAAGGTTAAATGACTAATACAATAATTTTTATTCAAAAACATATAAAAGCGAGTATCTAAACAATTAACAATTTACATCCAGATTGACGTAAATTCTGCAGTTCTACAAGGTATGTAGTTCTCTTGGCCGATATTAATGTTTGTTATTAATTCAACATTACAGTCATAGTAGTAAGTATATTAATATAATTTGAATGAAAAGTACTTCACACAATTTACCGAAGATGTTGATTTTTATTGATACTAATTTTACAGCTGAAGTTTGAAATTTCGGTTAATAGCATTTTTACAGGTGAAATTTGATTTTTAGTTGCTGATATTTATTCAGGTGAAATTTAAACTGTGGCTGATATGTGTTTTATAGACAAAGTTTGAGATTGTGGAAGATACAATTTTTACTGATGAATATTGAAATTTCGGTTAATGCCATTTTTACAGATAATGCTCGAAATTCTTATAAATATTATTTTTAAATGTGAAATTTTAAATTGTGGTTGATGGTTTTATTACAGACGAAGTTTGAAATACTGGTTGATAGTATTTTTACAGTTGAATATTGAAATTTCGGTTAATATCACAAAAATAATATCAATTTTACAGATGAAATTGAAAGATTTGGTTGATACAATTTTTACAAATGAAATCTGGGATTCATTGATAGTATTTCACAGAAGAAATTTGAAATTTCAATTGCTATAAATTTTACAAATGAATATTGAATTTTCTGTTATACTATTTTCCAGATGAAGTCGATTGGACTATGGTTGCTGTTGGCAGTAGTGTTGTTGGTGATAGCTACTGAAGTTGACGCAAGGAAAGGGAAAAAACCCAAAAATATTAAGATTAAAATTGTTATTAAATACAAGAAGAAACCACGTGGACGGCGCTCTGTAAGTCATGAGATTGAGATTTCTTTACAAAATGTATATATTATGACGAAACATACTCATCTTCTTTTCACGATATTGCAGCCTATGTCGACAGTGAAGTAACGTTTAGAGTAACTTTTAGTACTTACTACAAAGGGTTGTACGAAATACACGTGTAGATAATATGCTTTAATTTAAAGTTAGAACTAGATGAAGTAGAGCCCAATAATAAATGAAACTGCAACTGTGTCGACTTTCTGGTACTTTATAGGTTATAAAGATATACGTTATATGTAGATGAGGATTGATGAAGATTGAAACTACAACTGTGTCGACTTTCTGGTACTTTATATGTTATAAAGATATACGTTATATGTAGATGAGGATTGATGAAGATTGTGCGCAAAATATACTTCAGAGATAGAATAACAATGGCTTCATGAAAAAAATGAATACAAGATGATTTATATGTATGGGTAATAAAATTGTAAAATTTGATTTAACTTAAACTTTATCATAAATAGGCTTTTTATCATAATATTTACCATTGTATGGTATCGTTACTATGTAACCTTACCAATGTCACTGGTGTGGAGTATAAGGACATGACAGAGTGAATAAGTAAGAAGGATAATATTATGCTTGACTACAAAATCTTTAAGTTTGCCGTAATCTGCATTCCACGTTTAATTAAGTCGGATAGTGGCACATTTCAGAATATACACATGTACTTGGCGGTCTCCTGAATTATCAGACTAGTGAACCTACCCGTTAAGATGTTGACATCTATTTCGATTACTTTTAATTTCTCCAGTCGCCTCCCAGGTTTAGAATTTAAACCCATCACTGACGAGTCTTAGAAGTATGAAAAAGCTGTATGACGTAAAGATGCTAAACATTTTTGTGTCATTTATTCAATTTTAGTAAAGTTTTTTTCCTAACAGAAAATTAATTCTAGAATTTTACAATATCTTTAGACGATTCAAATTAAATATTTTGTCAATCCACAATTTAACTTTTAAGTTCAGCAATATTCACATAGCTCAAACTAATTAGATTTTACTGTTTGTCGAAAGCTTGGCTAGGTTTTGAGGTAGATGAATCAAGTCTTTAAGTTTTATTTCTGAGGTACATTGTCATTTCCAATTCCAAATTTTTGCTGTCATTTACTCGTTGTAAACATTGGGTGATATATGTAAGTAGAATGTTTCTCTTTAACTCGAAGTATTTATCTGGCCCCACTTGTATAAAACTTCTCAACTTGAGATTTCCTCAAGTCGAGATTTTCCTCAGCTGATATCTCCTCAAAAACGGCTTGTATAATTTTTTCTCAAGGAACAGGAGGAAGGCATCGGCTAGGATGTCTTGAAATTCCTTGAGGAATTTTCATAAAAGATATTTTCAAGGAGATATTAGCTGAGGAAAATCTCGACTTGAGGAAATCTCAAGTTGAGATGTTTTATACAAGTGGGGCCTGGTCTCGGCAAAAATCCCCCTTCCTCTTAACCATAACAGAACTCGAAAACCCCGCTATTCCGAACTGAAATGTTGGTTTTGATATCACCAACCATACAAAATTAACTGCTTACCTCGAAGTTACAAAATGTGACTCTGTAAGACATACACGCTATCATTTTAATTCCATTTCATAGATTGAAGATACATTGTCACTTCCATGTGACGTCAGGGAGTATGACAAAGACCAGGACGGAATCATCGGCAAAAATGAATGGGAGTCTTTCATATCAGAGTATAACCCGACGTTAAACTCTGCTGAATATATGGATCTTGTCATTCAGCAGCTCGATGCAAATAGTAAGAACTTTGGTTTTTCTTACCTTCTTTGTACTGAAAGTTGTGCACGCTCACAATTGATTTATTCACTTATTTATATTTTTACAACATTTTTGTATTTCTTTGATAATAAAAAAGATGCTTTTATATTAAGGAAGGGAGGGGGTTATCCTGTTATAGCGCCGATCGACATCCGGTTTAAAGCCATGTATTTCGGCGCAAAAATATTTCTCTTCAATCTACATTTTTTCCTGGTGTGAGATTAATATGATCTCTCCCTAGCTCGAGGGTAGGACAGATAAATATCAACCTGGGGAAGAAATTGTGGCATTGAACCCGAGGCTTTGCCAAAGGTTAGACTGTCAGGAATTTCCCTGTCCTACACTCAAGGTAGGGAATGATCCTTTTTCTACCTCTTTTCCCTCATTAAATAAAGATGGAAATACATATACATTTAACATTATAACGATCGGTATAGATATTTGTATTTGAGGCCCGATTTGATGACTTATGTTAATGACGTCAATGACCTCAACTGACCCCGACACGTCATAAAAATGACATCACTAACAATTACACGAACCCAAAATGTCACTTCCTGTGCGTGCAGGATGTCTTGTCATGGTAATATAGCGTTATCTTACCCTCACAGGATGTGTAGAAAATTTAAGTGACGTTACTGATTTGACCCGGAAGTGGAACCACTTTTATGAAGTCACGCACATGCAATAGTTGCAATGCTACAAAAATCTTGTGTTGAACTTTATCTTGTATAAGATTACATCACAAGCGTCTGAGGCTCGGGCCTCGTCATTATTCATACGCTATCCATTCTATGTTTTTATGTTCACCTACAATACACATCGTCTTGCAATAGGACAAGGAAAACAGGGTAAGAGAAAAATAATCGTTCACGCCCTTAAGGGGTTAGTCTCGTGTTTAACAACTTCAAGTTGAGGCCCCCTATCTCACCCTAAAGGGATGAAAGACACTATTTATCTTATACAGATCATTGATATGGAAATGTCAGTTAATGTCAAATAACTTTCTTAAAAATTCACATTTAAGAATAAAGGAAAATGTTGATAGTATATCAAAAATATGTTTTTACAGGAGACCGAGTTCTGCAAATCGAAGAGTTTGTTTCAGATACTGAATACAAGAAGGATTGTTTGTAAGTATCTTTATGAGCTTTTGAAAGTAGTTGTTCGCAAATAAATTTCATTAGGTGTTTAGAATGTACGTTGGTTCGCTTTGTAAAACCTCATAAATAGGAAGTTGTCATAAATAAACATGAGTGTTATCAGACTGCTGCTGTTTTACAGTTGAACCGAGGTATAATGTAAAGACAGAGTATATATATAAACTCAAGGGATAAAGAAACGTAGAGCGACATTATTTACAATATCTTGCGAACTCGTTTTTCAAAGCCAATGAAAATCGGTCAAGCAACTTTCTAGGTTACAGTACACGTGATACTGTATCGAATATTGCATTATTGTGTTACGTGGCGATGTCTTCATGAGAAAGCACGAAACGAGAAAATCTCGTGCACAATAGTATTGTGACATGGAGTTACACTGCTCGTCATACCATTAGGTAGTCTTCAAAAAGACACACCAATTTCCGATATTTATATCTGATATTCCCATTGGCTCAGTAGAGGCGTGTCTTGTTCGCTGAGTCCCGGTTCACCCTGTTTCGAGCAGATGATCGACTTCGTGTATACCGAGAACGTTTTGCAGACTGCTGCGTAGTAGAGACAGGTTTGCGGGGTGGATCGGTTATGGTGTGGGGAGGAATCTCACAGTTAAGTCACCACTAGTTGTGGTAATTTAACTGGCACTAGGTATAGAGATGGGATCCTCCGACCCCATGTTGTCCCATTATTGTAGCAAAACAACCTCACATTCCAGCAGGATAATGCTCGGCCCCATGTAGCGAGGATCTGTCGCGACTTTCGCACTAACAACAATATCGACCCACTGGCCAGGTCACCATACAGCCCCAACCTATCCCCTATTGAGCACTTGTGGGACCAGCTGGATAGACAGGTTCGACGACGCCAGCCTCCCCCTGTTAATCTGGCCCAACTGAGAGCAGGCTTCTTGGACGAATGGGCCAACATCCTAATGATGAGGATAAATTCACTCATGAACTATATGCCTAGATGAATCAAGGCTGTGGAAAGGGCGAATGGGGGACATATCCGGTATTGACTGGCAAACTGCCACAATCAGTCCATTTCGATTACAGAGTTCTCTTTCAGTTCTCTGCAATTACTCCTAAATCACTTACCAGATACAAATCGTTGATTTTGCAGTTTGTTCTGTATGGCTTAATCTTCATTCTTACTTTAAATTATTGAACATTATACTCGACGTCTTACCTTGAATAATCTTCAAAGTTTACCATGCGTTTCTTTATCCCTTGAGTATGTATATATCTATATATCATAGTATTCTATCTTTCATTTGTATTTGATGTCTCAAGTGTGGGTCCGCCTGTCCATTTTAGGGACTCAGCTCAGGATTGTGTGCAAATGGACTGTTTGAACCTGCAGCCTGTCCCACCACAAATGGACATATTTTGACCCAATCTTGTAATATCTTGTGATACCTAATTGTACTTTTTAGTTTATGTTACTGCTCTGGAACTCAATAATGCAAATGATGGTGATGCCTATTTTGCATTTCTGTCATATAATTATCCATTTGAATCTACCTTCTACATTCTTATTCCGAATATTATTATTATCTGTTATCTTTAATTTTGATTGATGTGTCTGTATACTGTAAGGAGAGGGCTTTCATAGGCTCTGCCTGTTGCCCAATTCCTATTGTCAATACCACCAAGACAATAAAATATTCTGAAATCGAATATCATGGTATTAACTTTTACTGTTCAAAATTTAAAAACGTGACTGAATTCGTGTATTGTACTTTTTGTACTTAAGTAAGAACTGCCTTTGGTGTAATTAGATTGCCTTTCATGATGTTGAGTGTACGTGTCAACTGTTAATATCGATATCTATATTGACATGAATGCTAGAGCATTACTTTTCGTAATAAGTACAATTCTACATAACTTTATTTGGCAAATGGCATAACAGACAAAGTCAAAAGAAATGTTATAACTATCATTTTGAAGATGGTCTAAAAATATGCTATAAAACTAGGATGATTAAAGAGATTTTTTTTACAACACATGTACTAGAAAATGGCAAGTTATACTTATGAGTATTAGTCATGTTGATTTTATAACGAATTGTGGAAATGATGACTATGTAAAATTGACATGTAAAAATATGTTTTGGTGTGATGTTTCTAAAGCTTGGGAAAGATTATTTAATTATGATTTACTAAAGGGCAGACAACTTTCTATTTTGAAAACCCCCTTATGGCATAACCAACATATAATTACTAATGGTATGCTAAGGGTGTTTGTGTGGTAAACGATAGGTTGAAAATACTAATTTTGTTACTTTCTATTGTTACGTTGAATTCAAACAGAAATATAGTATATATACAAAGTGTCTTCATTTTCAAGATCTGGTAAACTCTGCTAAATAAGATACTAATACAATAAGGATTCATGACATAGAACTCCTATTTCCCTGTATTCCTTTGAACATAGAAGATTTGTTCCAATAGGGTTCAAGGAGCAAAATATTTATATGAAATCTTATCAAAAATGATGAAATACCAACAGGAAGGAAAACATGGGCAGATCAATTTGACTTTGTTAACTCCAATTGGGCAATTAATTTTACCTTCCTATCAGAAGCACTTTTGATTCCTTTCACTATAGATAAAGAATCACTAATTTTTTTTGGTTTCTGCTCAATTCGAAACGAGTTCAGTCAAATTACATTTACAAAACTAGAAGTCTTGACACCACTCTAAGTATGAATTATCTAACCAGTTTGTTAAAGGACTATTCTAACGTTAAACGATACGTAATAACGGCTAAGGGTGATGTTTCTCTAGAATGTTTCGACAGAGAGTAGGGAAAAGGGGGAAAAAACAAACTTTTACTTATTTAGACTTAAATTGAATATATTTCTGTTATTACTGTCTATATCCATTCATATCTATTAATTTCTTTTGAACTCTGATAGTTGGTTCAGAGCAAATGTTTTCAATAAAGCAATTGTCAATTTAATTTAATACTTTTTTATACGTCGGTTCGTTGATTTATGCCATTTTCAACTTTGTATCTGGTCATAGTGGAGCTTTGTGAATGCAACTCCTCCTAAAATAATGATCAGATTTTCATAAAACTTGCTCAATGTCCCCATTACAATGGATTTTACGGTTCATGGATTTTTTAAGATTTATGATACATACTTGTTAAAAGCGATAATTAAAAGGACCAATCTTGATCTTTATATTTTGTGGCGGCGTATATTGTGTCCACAGCACTCTTGTTGAGTTTTGAAAGGCCCGTCTCTGTCTAATCTGTCAACACTCTGTCCTGTGACAATTGTCTTTGTGTTTATATGTCTTTGTGCTCGTCTGTCTGTACGTCTCTCTGACAGTTCTTCCTTGTGTACGTGTTTACTATTGGTGGTGATATGTCTTTGTAATAACCTGTTAATCTCTATTTCCTTTTCTTTCATAAACACATGATTATTAAGACTAGTTTTATTTCATTGTTTTAAAATTGACATCTTGGATCGATTGAAATCTTATGCATTAATAAATGACTGCCATACTAAGGCATTGGCTTGTATATAATAAATATAATGATAGGATGATACACTTGTTACAGAGACGGATATTTTGATTTTTATGAAATATTAAATCATTATTGTTTTTATATGGACGTATAGTGTATATGAAATCTTTAATAAATTATGAATGTTTCTACTATAGATCTATGCTGTGCATGAAGTGTTTGATATGTTTAACATGAACACACGGTATATTTGGAATTATGAATTATGAATGTATGATATATATGAAATATTTGATACGAGTAGTTGTATACAGATGTCTGGTATAAATTGTTTATGAATCTCTTTATACAGATGTATGGAATACAAATGTATGTAAATGTTTTTATTTAGAACTATGGATGAATGTGGATGAAACATATCGTATGTGTGTGTTTTGAAAAAAAAGCTTGAATTAAGATATAAGTGAAAAAGAAATGCTTGAGCGGGGAAAAGTTATCTTGTTATTTGCATGTATACAATCAAACATGTCTTAAAGGCCGTCCGTCTATAAAGACCACATTATTTGGTTTTTTGGAATTCTTAGTAATTAAACCTCTATATAAGGGGCATCTGTTTATAAAGGCCAATTTATTCTGCTCCCTTGAGTGGACTCAATGGCCATGCCTGAACTGCACTGTTATGTTGATATGCAGATCTCTGTATGTTTATATTGTTGATTATATACATGTATAACTAACTAATTAGGTTACTTAAGTTAGGCACCGTAACTGCTAGTGTTGGTATAGTTAGGTCAGTAACTATTGAAAGTTAGGTAAATAACTCTCATTGATGTTATCTAGTCTTATATTTGCATGAATGATTCTAGCATTTTTGTTACACAGTATCTACTGAAATTAAGGTAAATAACTCTCATTGATGTTATCTAGTCTTATATTTGCATGAATAATTCTAGCATTTTTGTTACATAGTATCTACTGAAATTAAGGTAAATAACTCTCATTGATGTTATCTAGTCTTATATTTGCATGAATGATTCTAGCATTTTTGTTACATTGTATATCTTCTCATTGATCTCTAACATGACAAACTATGAGAATTTTCAGACAAATACATTAACATCATGAATAATGGTACGGAGCTTAGATTATACGCTGAAATAATAAGCAGATAGTAATTAAAACCTTTCTTTGCAGTGCGGATGATCCAGCCGCCAAAGCGAAAAACCTAATCTGACCCCAAACACATGAAGTCAAACCATCTTCTGATATTTGAAATATACATCCTAATATACATCTGGTATGTAAAAACATAAAATTGCTATTAAAATCCTCTAAACGTAGATAAAGTTGTTTTGTTTTGAAGGGAGAGAGTGAAGACTAGCATTAATCTATACCAGACGTTAGTGAGGGTACCACAATGCATTCTGAGACAAAACTGGACAATATGAATAGGAGACCTGCTTTGGCTCAGACCACAATTAATTTCTCTTTATTTTCTACCAAAAGTTCAAAAATTAAGAATTGATTAAGAAAGATCAACTCTAACCTTCTATGAGGTGGAAAGTACCTCATGTGTGGAATCTTAGAAAGATATTTTAATTTGAAAGTCCAGTTCTCTACGAAACTTTAAGAAAGCGTGGAAAGTCAACGACATTAGCGAATAAGCCTCATTTTAATGTGTTCTTTCACTTACGAAAACTATGCCAAAATGATTGCATCACTAGAACAATTATCGTACATTATTTCTGTATACAATTTAGTATATAGCTGTTATAGACATGTATGGTTAAATACCTGATGAAACTTGCCTGTAACGGTCCGAAAGTAAAATTATAATCCGAGGCAAATTTATGTATGTGAACCATAGTTCCATGTTTCTACTGTCGATGCACTACGTACTTTTGTCTGCAGTACTGATGCTTTTGGAAGATTTTGTCTGTATTACCTCTATGTCGGCATTGTAATGTATTCTGTATTTTCTGATTGCAGTTCTACAAAAGCAATGCACATGTACCTGCTTCACCCATTACAAGAGGTGACTAGATTTAGGATCTATATCGTCTCTAAAGATCTGCCTTTCACTCTTGGTCTTTAGTTAAGCCAAAGTAGGATTCAGAGTATCACGATGAGATAATATGCAATCATACCCATTTTTGTGTATAAAGCATTTCAATTTCGACAAGGACTAAACATTTTTCAACCAATACAGCTTATTATAACTTCGTAGTAATGCTATTGTATATTTTTAGTAAATGATGGGATAATTTAATAAGGATCGATAGAGAGACATGATAACAGGCTGAAAACACATAATTGGTTTGCTATGATATATACCTGATATTCTGATGACATGAGTGATGCCTCAAGAGACTGATGTTGTTAAATCTGACACTGTAACTTCAATTGGGAAAGGACATCTTGCAATAAAATTTTGTTGCAAAATTATATCTAATTGATCGGCAAACATGATCAATATCACAAGCACATTTGTAATACAAACTAACTATTTGTACACATTAGAACATTTCTCATCTGCTTCAACAGGTTTAAAGAGGAAATAAACAGTTATCATTTCATCAAATACATTCGTCTGACATATACAAATCGTAAAACAATATGCCATTATGTATGACAATGCTATTGATCAGTACACCTTGTTAAACAGGATGGACTGGCATTTATCATGTTTCAATGTATTTATTAACTATATATACCAAACCTATGATAATGACCAACTTATTTCTTTAAATTGCATTTCCTATTATCTCTGAGAAAAAACAACTGACTTTTTCACAATAATAAAACAAAACCAAAAACCATTTCGACGCTTCTGACGTAAAACAGTTCGTTTGGTTTCGTCAATAACCAACCAGGGTAATTCAAAACAGTCATTTTTGACCCTACACATTTTCTTAAATGTTAGAATTGAACATTTTTTGTATAAAAATATTTTAGCCAAAAGCATTTAAAAGTCAAAACGCCTTTATTCTTACTCTTTTGAGTAAGTGTTATTGCTCATCATCGACGAATACAACTTATTCTCCCTTCGCTAGTCCAGAAAACCATGTTTTAGATTCGTTCAAATCTAGGAACTCAATGACGACAAGGAAAATACCGATTTATCAACAGTCTTTATTCAAACTCAAAATCGACCAAAAGAGGGCTGAATATGATCAACAAAGAAAAAAAACACTCTATAGGCGTCAGTAAAGGTACAAGGTGGAAGGATACAGGAGAGTAGGCCTATACGGCTTCTCGTCATGTATATCTTAATCAATCCAAGAAAGTTATGTCTTGTTTCCAAATGGGAACAATGTGAAAATTAACGGAGCGGGCATAGAAATAGCAATAACACTTGATCAGACTCTGTCGTAAGACCGTGCAGTCTTTGACTATGAATATTTATCAATACATTGTACCAATAACCGGAAACACACAATCAGTGAAGAAATCATGTTTTTTTTTGTTTTGACTTCATATTTTAACATTTGTTCTTTTAACAAGTACTTGCCTTAACTGTTCCTACAATAAAACTGTTATTGTTGTCATTGATTCTCAATGCCCAAACATTTAGTGTGACTACAATATCATATTTATTTATGTTTGCACAAATTCAGCTTTTCAAGCAATTTCATTCATAAATATAGATAAAGACATATAGTCATTTGTTTTTTGTTTCATTTTTTACAGTTTGTTCTACTGTTTTAAAACCGAAGAAATATATTTGCATCAGACTGATTCGATTGCCAGTAATGTCTGTCGATTACTGTAAATCGATTTATTGGAATACTCCAAAGTTATTACCCAACAAGTATATGCTCTAGTAAAAATGTAGATACAATCAATGTTGCATTTTAAACTATTACTAGTATTATAACATTCGCTTTTATTGCAAGGTTTTATTTTTAGCTCATTTCGCCCATAGAATAAAACTGCAAAAAACAGATATCTTGGAAAGTATTACGAATCCAATGAAAAAAGTTCCTTTTTTGAAGTTGCATCACTATCTTTCGATGATTAGTTTATGATATCGAAAAATATTGTCTTTGCGAGTTATTTCCCTTCTTCCAATATAATCATTTATAATTTCAAAGAAATGACGAAATCTCTGCCAGAGTTGTCGTTCCATATAGTCAAAACAGGTTATGTACTGCACTTTGGGAGAGATTATAAGATTACTTTGAAATTAGCTATGCCGAAAGCACTGATTCAATAACTAATGTGTTTTAGTTCTTTTTATGATTTTGTTTTATGAATTACTTGAATTAGAAACAGGAGCAGTCATATTTTACCGAAATGTCTTTTCTGAAATATATTTGGCACTTAGCCAATATCTTAACAAAACTATCAATTGGATGAACGAGGGAACTTAATAGGCCAAAGTAGCCTGACATATATGATATGCTTTTTGCCATAAATATCGGAAATGATAAGATTTTGTTATTTGTGTAATATTCTACCCTGCACTCTCCGGCAACACATGATAATGTACTGTGAACAGTAATGATTCTGAAAGTATCAACGACACAGTAAAAACAAATAGCCGGGAACTAATTTAGTCAAAACGCGACCTTCAGTAGCCGCAAACGTTAATATGTTTCAGTGTCATATTACCATGGATTAAATATAATTATTCCAACAAGGCTAAGAATAATTCTGTAGCACCATCATACTTTCTTTCTAAAACAATCGTACTGACTGTTCACCCACAAACAAAACAACAACGAACGTAACATTTCTCTTGAGATTTTAATGACAATATTATTTACGGCTTCATTTTGAAATTTCATCCGGGTATTGAATAATATAGATATATGTCAGATTTCAGCTACCGCGTTTCTGGTGCATACGACATCAGTCGCGATGTCAAACATTGTTTGGTGGGGCGGCCGGATCGTCAGCACTAGAAATAAAAAAGTAATGATTATCGAATGTGTTAAAAAAAATCGATAGATGCAAATTCCATTACAATACTAAAGACGTACAAGTGAATGGTAGATTAAAAACTTTACTTCTCAGTGGTGTTGGTAGTCTAAATTGTTAAAAATTAGTAGGCAACAGAAGAAAGTGGTCGTAATCATGGTTAAATAAAGCCAGATAGATTGACGCTTTACTCTTCAATAAATTCTGTAATTTTAAATGCTCAATGATTTTCAAATATCCGTACAAGAATGAAATTTGCCACCGTTAATCACATTATAGTACGAATGATGAATGAAGAATGATGCATTTTAATTAAGTATTCGGCATACACGATGCTTATTAATTCTTTAAAACTTGTTTGTAATTTGAAGAATTGTTTGGTATTATTTATGTAGATATTCACCTGATGTATGAATATAGCATGACTTTAACATTATTGTTTTACGTTTTCGAGACAATTTATTGAAGATATAGTAACATCAAAATACCTATGTCAACACTATCCACTACAAAGGGAAAAAAACTTAACAGTGACCAAAATATACAGGTATACAAAATCAATAGTAGATGTTGCCAAAGAAACTGACAGCAACTGTTTAAGTTAAACATTTCATTAATTTAAGAAATTATTTTAAGCTTATCAAGCGCAAATAAATATAGGTACAAGAACTGGACGCTTCGTCACCAATATACTTTCGATGCTCTGTTTTATTAAAAAACTAACCTGTTCACAGAATCTTAATTCAAACTTGATTTCAATCAAACTAACGCAAAATATGAACAAATGTTTTACACGGAAACTCCTAAAAAGTGAAGCGACCAGTGGCATAAGTGCAAATTTATTTCATTTACGGCAGAAGGCAAAACAACATTATTTCAAAAACGAAAAGAAAACAATCTGTCCTAATTCTTTTGATGTACTTAACACTTTATATTTGTATCAAAATCGCATCTGAAGTCATTTCCAAGAATCGTCTACAACCAAATTACACGACTAATCTTACTTTGATGAAAAATCTAAGATGAGATTTCAGAATAAATAAACGTTAAACGTTTTTGACAGTTAACATGAATTTAATTATCCTTTTTGAGGTTTCATCAAAGGATAACATTCAGTATTTTTTCATTATTTCATACAATTACCAGAAATATATCTAATTAATATTTAAGAACAGTAATATTTATTCGTATATTTATCAACACTAAATATTTTACGTCAATCTGTTTAACAATGTCCTTCAACTGTTACTTACTAGCAATCCTTTTTGTATACTGTATTCGTGGTAAACTCAGAGACTTGAAGAATCCCATCTCCTGTAGAAATATATTTCCACAATAAATGTATAATGTTTTTACATTGGGCATATTTGTTAATTACTTCATGATACATGATATTTTGTAACGACATTACTATGTTTAAACAACACAGTTTTAACAACAAGGTAAAACTTTGATGACAAATTAATACTTTTTTCACTTCTGCCGTTTCGACTTTGCAGCTCGGTAAAAAGTCATGATACATACACAGTATTGATCGGTAAAAAGTAAAATATTGATCCGCATAAGATGCTAAAATATCAAAAAATAGTTTAATCTGCACTGGCAGATATATTTAAAATTTCAACGAAAATTACATCTTTATTCAAAATATCATTCTTGTTATGTTTTCCTACACCTAGACGTCTCCTAATGAGTAGGATGTCGATCGCTATTACATCTATTTTAACATTTCGCACTCTGTTATAGCGTACTAGAAGAGTATTTTGGCTTTATAACTATCAAACTTTTAAAATAAGCTATATAAATAAATAAATTGATTAATAATTACCCATCTGTCAGCCGACAGGAGAATATTAATTACAGAAATCCACCATGTTTTATAATCACGCTAAATTATATTCAAATGACTAGAAAGTAATAAAAATATAATTCAAGGACAAGAACAATTATGAAAATTAAACCACTGCTTACCATTTGCATCGATTTGTTGAATGATATAATCCACATATTCTGAGGAGTTTAGTATAGGATTGAACTCTGAGAAGTGATTTTGCCACTCTGTTTCGCTGATGCTTCCATCCTGATCACTGTCGAACTCGCTGATGTCACAAGGCAGTGTCAATGTGTCCTCTATCTATAACATGATTTAACTTATTTTATTTTTTCTCATTATTTTACAAAAACGTATACATAATGTTCAGATGTGGTTATTTTTATATTTCGCAACTTCGATATCACAAAACAGTATACTTAGGATATTATCTCGTTTAATCAAACTTTCAGGGCAAAGTGAGGAGATAAGAACCCCGTGATATTGTAGCTATCTACTCACGTTAATTTCTGCTGTTGATGAAATAAATCACTTGAAATTTAACTCAAATTCTGAATAACGAGCGCTTTATGATAAATATACAGTGTATGACAAAATATTTTCTGTAGTATTGGCAAAATACATTTAAAAATAAAAATGACATAATTAAATTAATTTAATTCAAAATGGATATATATAAAACACATAATCATTGTCGTATAAAATGCATATTTTTTATTTATTTATTTTTTTTCTGTCATTTGATAAAACTGTTCCATCTTAACATGTCATGATAAATGAGGGAGAAGTGTATCTAAAATTTGTATAAGATATTTAAACATCAATATGACACCTTAAAGAGGATAGTTCATGATTTTTTACTTACAGAACGCCCTCTACGTGTTTTCTGCTTGGATGTGTACTTGACCTTGATTTTGACTCTGGTCTTTCTCGTGCTCTTATTCCGCCCGGCATCTGCTTCAGTAGCAAGAACTACCAGAACCACTAACAGTAGCAGCCACGGTCCTAACGACTTCATCTGTAAATAGGGTTTAACAGTAATCTCATGCTTATGAAGTCTTAAGAAATATATTGAACTTAGCTGTTAGGCATTATCACGCTTATTATACAGCTTGGTGGAAAGCTGTCCATATTGGTCTCGTTATAAGAAAAGATTTGGATAAGCGACTGATCTAGAGGAATCTGTCGTGCACTTGATATCCAATTCTGGTAGGTATATAAGATGGACGCATTCAATAAATTTCTTGTTATTCAAAGAAAAGACGTCATCAATTTATCTGAAACTGAAAGTAAACGACATTGCAAGGTCTTTGTGATCTGTTTTGATAAGTTCTTTATAAATTCAGCCTCGTATGAAATAAAATAAAAAGAGTCAGCCAACACCACTACGCCCAACGAGAGCACCTGCAATACATTTAGAATTAGCATAGTTTTGAAAAAAAATAACTGAAAGGCCACGAAAAGAGTCAAAGCATAACAAGGGACACGAGAAGTGTTTTTGGGAACCCACATGTTAATAACAGACATGTTTCGTATAAAAATAGACATTAATATATATAACTGACAGTAGAACAATCTGTTACCTTGTATGAGTACTTCTGATCTGGAACTTTGGTTCTTTTAAGTCGATCGGGATGTGTGTACATTCAAATCAAATTTAACCCTTTTATATGATTTTGAATGCGGACAAAGTCACGGAAAAATGGCAACATTCTATCATTATCTAATAAATGTGTGCATGTGATGAATGATAGGTGAATGTGCTCTCATTCATAGTTTATCATAGTGTTCTTTATAAAACCGGACTTTCCTTATTTTCATTATTTACAATCCATCATAACCCTAGTTCTGTGTCTGTTTACCTTTTTATATTAATGTTTAAGATTATCATCGATAATGTAACGTAGGATCGCTACGTTGTTGAAAATATGCGAGCAGAGAAATGATTCAAATTTAGAGTTGATGATATTATGTCATATCTATATGTATTGGTTAATCAGTGAAACTAATACGACGAAGTCTTTACATGTGATTTAACTGTTTTAAAACAATTTCTATCATCGCAGCACTTTGAAAAAATTGTACCGTAAATAGTTCCAAGTTACAGAATCGTTGTTTGCCTATTGTGACATTTGTTTGTCACTTCCTTTTGAGAACGCTTTGTTACTTCCTTGGCTCTCATTTTGAGAACGCTTTGTTACTTCCTTGGCTCTCATTTTGAGAACGCTTTGCTGTTACTTCCTTGGCTCTCATTTTGAGAACGCTTTGCTGTTACTTCCTTGGCTCTCATTTTGAGAACGCTCTGTTGTTATTTCCTTGGCTCTCATTTTGAGAACGCTTTGTTGTTACTTCCTTGGCTCTCATCTTGAGATCGGTTCGTTACTTCCTTTGCTCTCATTTTGAGAACGGTTCGTTACTTCCTTTGCTCTCATTTTGAGATCGGTTCGTTACTTCCTTGGCTATCATTTTGAGAACGCTTTGTTACTTCCTTGGCTCTCATTTTGAGAACGCTTTGTTACTTCCTTTGCTCTCATTTTGAGAACGCTTTGTTGTTACTTCCTTGGCTCTCATTTTGAGATCGGTTCGTTACTTCCTTTGCTCTCATTTTGAGCCAAAATGACTTCTGTAAGCGTTTTCGTCGTTCAGGTTTGGTCTCCTTTCGTCGAATTGGATTTGGGACATGTTTTATTACGATGGTACCTTGAATTTCGCTCATTGGAAATATGAATTGACAATTTATGTCGGTCTTTGTGGTGCTCCGCATTTTTTCATATGGTACTATTTTGCTTTGCTAATTCAAAGACCGTTATTAAAGTAAAAGCTGAAGTTATAATCAAGTTCAGACCTTTTGTCCCTATGTTTGATAAAGAAAAAAAAAGACTTGAGAAAACGACAAGTAGCCATTTGGCTTATACATAAGTGAATCCTCCTTTGAAAAATATTTGAAAATTAAGACCACCTCGCTATTATGGCCATTTCACTTAGATCCCAAATATTTCTCTGTGTTTTTATCTCGTATTCTTCAGTATTAAAACCAGTTATCTATTAAAACCACCTCACTTTTAAAAATGAACAAAGACCAGAAGAAGCCGAGTATTCAAATGTTTTTTGGTGTATATTCCACCTTATATCTATATATAATATTGTACACAAATTGTTGTGAACAAAGCATCAATAAATATACTTCAATGAAACATCAATTTCCCCGAACTCCGAGACAAAAAGAGTACGAAAATATGGATAGCATTTAAGGGGAATAAAACAAAAAACCAGGCAAGTAGTGCACACATCATTGAAATGAAAATATTACTGGAAAAGTATTACTATCTCGTGAAAGGAAATCGGTGAAAGAAGTTTTCTTTGTACGTTATGTATATAAGTATTGCAAAACGTTTTTTTTTCTGATTCGAAAAACTTATTAAGAAATAACGCTGAACAAATATTAATGTATGCCATTACGTGAAAAATATAACTGAAGTATTTTTTATGCAAGTTTATGAAATATAAGCATAATGCCTTTCTTCTATCTATGTACATTGCATATCTGTGCATTTTATAGTATTAGTCTTTTTATTTTCGTTTACTTAGTAAAAAATGTTCGTTTAGCCGAACTACCTGTAAAAACAATACTAAGAAATTTTACGAATGTTTTTCATTCTAGGATATAGATAACCTCTGACGTTCTCGTTAACCTACATATATTTCTTTTTTGAAGATCAGTGAACCTTTACCTTTCCTAAGTCCAGCTATTGAGGTCATGTCCTGTTACACGTTATTACATCCTACAATACCATGTAAACATGATCTTACTAGGAATGAGGCGACAATAAAGATATAAACTCTATGAGTCTCCGCATTAGTAACAAAGCATGAAAACATTCCCTAATCAGGATAGAATTAAAGTGAATAAAAAAGCATTTTATGAGAAAAAGTTGACCTTTATTCATGATTCACACTAAAATGTATTCGACGGAAACAAACCTTTTTCTTAGAAACATATATATATATAGGTACTTAAGCTGGCTGAACGCTTTATACTAAACGATCAATCAACATAACTTTCCTTGTATTAAATATGTAAACATAGATAACCAAGGTCGCTTTAAAAGATATATGTGTTATTCTGTAATGTTTATTGTACACTTGTAGCGCTGATGGTGTATCAACATATTATAACAACAGTATGATGTTAGTTTAGTTTTTATTTCTTTTTACGTCGGATATTTCACGATAATGAAGACCTTGTTTATATCTGTACTGTATCTTGTTGAATTTTTTATATCTATATTAAATGATGTATTCATATAATGATATTCCATTAGTGCAAGCAGAATCGCGAGACAGATTGGTGACTTATTATGACTTCAATATTGTTCACGATGTATTTATTTTTGAGCTAGCATTTACTGCAACCATTCACATATTATTTTTATAGAATCGTAATTGTCCATTTTATATCTGTTTGTTATTGTCTTTAAAACATGGCATAAGTAAACAAAGGAAAGGCGACACGTCGTAATTAAACAAGGAAAAGCGACACGTCGTAATTAAACAAGGAAAAGCGACACGTCGTAATTAAATAAGGGAAGGCGACACGTCGTAATTAAATAAGGGAAGGCGACACGTCGTAATTAAATAAGGGAAGGAGACACGTCGTAATGAAATAAGGGAAGGCGACACGTCGTAATTAAATAAGGGAAGGCGACACGTTGTAATTAAATAAGGAAAGGCGACACGTTGTAATTAAATAAGGAAAGGCGACACGTCGTAATTAAATAAGGGAAGGCGACACGTCGTAATGAAACAAGGAAAGGCGTCACGTCGAAATTAAATAAGGGAAGGCGACACGTTGTAATTAAATAAGGGAAGGCGACACGTTGTAATGAAACAAGGAAAGGCGACACGTCGTAATTAAATAAGGAAAGGCGAAACGTCGTTATCAAATAAGGGAAGGCGACACGTCGTAATTAAATAAGGAAGGCGACACGTCGTAATTAAATAAGGGAAGGCGACACGTCGTAATTAAATAAAGGAAGGCGACACGGCGTAATTAAATAAGGGAAGGCGACACGTCGTAATTAAAGAGGAGGAATATACACGGCGTAATAAAGCATGGTAAGGCGATATATCGTAATTAAACAAGGGGAAGCGACTCGTCGTAATTAAAAAAGGGAAAGTCAGCGTAATTTATCAAGTGAAGCCGGCAAGACGTGATAAAACAAGGTAAGGTGACGGCGTAAATAAGCAGGAGAAGCCGATATGGCGTAAGTAGAACAAGAGGAACATACCCGGCGTAATTAAACAAGGGAATGCGACACAGCGTAATTAAACAAAGGAATGCGATACGGCGTAATTAAACAACGGAATGCGACACGGCGTAATTAAACAAAGGAATGCGACACGGCGTAATTAAACAAATGAATGCGACACGGCGTAATTAAACAACGGAATGCGACATGGCGTAATTAAACAAGGGAATACGACACGGCGTAATTAAACAAATGAATGCGACACGGCGTAATTAAACAACGGAATGCGACACGGCGTAATTAAACAACGGAATGCGACATGGCGTAATTAAACAAGGGAATACGACACGGCGTAATTGAACTACTAAAATAAAAAGCATTGGTTAACTGAGAGAATAACTTCCTTTTGTGAGAATTTCTTCTAGATTGTTTTCCTCATCATTATTTCCCCATTCAAGTACAATAATTCAAAAACAATAAATACCATTATGTCAAGCAATGAATTTTCACACTATTGTTATCAAATAAAATTATACTGAAGAAACAATGAAAATAGACGACATTTTAATAGAACCATTATTCAAACACGATGACATTCAGAGGCGTAGCAATAATGTATGCTTGTATGCTTAAACATACACTCGAATTCCATTGAGATATATTTGCCCTACTTTTTTTAACCTTACTGCGCCCCTAGACCCCCTTAACCGGGGCTTCGCCCTTGGATCCTCTCTTGAAAGCATACACTCTTAAAAATGTTTTGCTACGCCACTGACATTAGCAACAGTATACCCTCCTCATCTTTAGGATTATAAGGGTAAAATTTAATAGATCTTTGTCTATCTTTATATCTGATATAAATGTATATATATATATTTAATAGATCTTTTACAACGTACATTAAATTAGTTTTCATTTTATAAACACTCAATTGACATCATAATTGAACATTTATAATATAGGTACATGTATGGAAGGGAATTATTGTCAATGCAAATATCAAACACGAACAGTTCCAATTTGATCGATTTCCTACCAGTGCTAAATGTTAACATTGATTGTAGTTTTCCCCAGCTATTTCGGGTCTAGGATAGCTTGTTGGCCTATGTAACCCGAGTGGAGAGGATTTAATGCGAGGTACATAGTTCCACGCTTCCGAGCCTTTTGTATTTCTAAGAAATCTGAGACAGGTCTCTGATGACATGATTGTGTCCTTGAGCAAGAGGATTTATCCTTATAGTTCTGGATAGCATGCAATGAACCTTCCGGATGTTGTTCTGTGATGTAGTCATATGCCACTGCAAGCCGACAGCACCTCAACCTGACACTGACTTCTCACGGGGCGAAAACCTTAGCAAGCATTAATACAATTTCCCTATTACACGGAATCGAGACAAAATGTATAGAACTGAGAATTATGGATGATTGTACACGTGTCTTTCCAAAACAAGGAAAATCCGTTTAAAAATTAAGTAATTTGTAAATAGGGCATCATAAATATGATATATTTGTTTTCAAGTTTTCTCTCTCTTTGTGAAACAGTTCATCATTCAGATAAGGTTTCCTCCTCAATACTCATTCATCACAAATGAGAGAATTTTGACAAATTTTACATTCGATGTCCGGATACAATAAGGTATAAAAAGCGTTTATCTGGTCAAATCATCAACACTTCTAGTTGTCTAAGTTGTATGAACCATACTACAAGGTAAGTGTTATTTTACCACTGTCTCAACTTCCGTTCACATGCACAGTTATATATTATTAGGTTTATAACTATTGTTATTCAAACTTTTTGGATAAATGACTCCAAAATAATCAATTTTCGCCAAAGGATTCGTTTTCGTTGATTTCGTTGGTGTTTTATATCCATTATCTCCTATGTTTAAATTGTGTGAATTTTTACACGGAGAAAATTCATTATGCCGTAAAGACGGTTATATTGATGGAGATAATGTTTTCACTGTTTCACAGTACATTAACGTTGATTAGTGAAATAATGATACACATTTGTATTAAGATGTTCTTTTACATCCAGATTGAGAAATGTTCATTCCTTGTTATATCATTCGACTGTTTGGTAAATAATAATAATAATTAGAATAAAAAAATGACATAATGCCTGACGTTCATATCTAAATACCATTTAAATACTATTGCTTATACAATAGTTAGGCAGATGTTATGTTATAGTCATTTTGAATTACCTTATAAACAGTTTTTTTTTACAACAAGAGTAAATATTATTCGATATAATTTCACAGATACAGTTTACATATAAAATCCTATAGAATACCAGTTGTATTGTTTTATAGATACAATGTTTAATACAAATATTAATAGTTATACATATAAAATCTACTATAACAAATATTAATATTTATACATATAAAATCCTATAGAATACCAGTTGTATTGTTTTATAGATACAATGTTTAATACAAATATTAATAGTTATACATATAAAATCCTATAGAATACCAGTTGTATTGTTTTATAGATACAATGTTTAGTACAAATATTAATATTTATACATATAAAATCCTATAGAATACCAGTTGTATTATTTTATAGATACAAAGTTTAGTACAAATATTAATAGCTATAATATAATATCGTATAGAATACCAGTTGTATTGTTTTATAGATACAATGTTTAGTACAAATATTAATAGTTATACATATAAAATCCTATAGAATACCAGTTGTATCGTTTTATAGATATACAGTTTTTAGTAGCGGTGACATAATTTTATATATACAACAGTCGGTCGGACGAGTGATAATATCAACTTTTTAGATATTCAGTATTTCGTAAAACGTTGAAACTACAAAGTTTGACCTTTGGGCTATTGAAATACATTGTGATTGTTATTGGTGACTGTTACAGATGAAGTCATTAGGACTCTGGCTGCTGTTGGCAGCGATACTGGTGGTTATAGCTACTGAAGCAGACGCCGGCACAACCAAAACAAAGGTCAAGGTCAAGGTCAAATTTACAAGGACAACAAAAAAGCGAAATGGGCGTTCTGTAAGTGTAAAAACGTTTTGTACATAAATATATATCTTCATTGCAACGTCTTGTAGACATTTTAAGATATTCGCATAAGACTTTTGGAATTAAGTTGGGCTGGGAAGAAACATCGAAATGTTCCTTTGTTCTTATATACCTGACATTGCCATCATAGCTTATGTCATTATGTACAGTAACAAATGATTTCATTATGACGGATATGTAATATTAACTCTGTATCTCCTATTCATAAAACTGATTTACAATTACGTATCTTATTAATGATGTAAATTTATTACATATCACACTAGGGTGGAATAACAAAATCGCTTTTGATTAATGAATATGTAACAAAATAAAAACGAGAACCTTTTTTTCATAGTAGCTGGATTGAATTAACTTTATCACTTGGTTAATACCGATGAGATTCCCAGTTGAGATTTATAAACAAAATTATTACCATCTCATTCTTTAACATAAATTGCCAGAAAGTGAAGTAGAGATGATGTAAAATATAAAAACTTAATATTTCGACTCATCTTCAAAATCATTAATAGATTGAGGACACGGTGACACTCCCCTGCGACGTCAGAGAATATGACATCAATGAAGATGGAATGATAAGCAGATATGAATGGGAGGCCTACATGTCAGAATTCAACCCTGTGTTGAACTCTGATACATACGTGAATCTTCTTACTCAACAACTCGATACCAATGGTATAAATTTTCCTTACCGTTCTCTAGTAAAACAACTGATACAAATGATATGAATTTTCCTTACCGTTCTCTATAAAACAACTCGATACAAATGGTATGAATTTTCCTTACCGTTCTCTAGTAAAACAACTCGATACAAATGGTATGAATTTTCCTTACCGTTCTCTAGTAAAACAACTGATACAAATGATATGAATTTTCCTTACCGTTCTCTATAAAACAACTCGATACAAATGGTATTTTTCCTTACCGTTCTCTAGTAAAACAACTCGATACAAATGGTTTTTTCCTTAACATATACAAATGATATGAGTTCTCAGTATATGAAATGACGTGTGTATATTTGTTGTGTATATTTGTGCTAGTGGTCTGAACCTGTTCGCAGCTGTGAACTTATTGATCAATTTTTCAATTAATACTTTATTTTCCCTTGCGACCGTCGGTTTTCTATAACAAAAGATGGTTCGGTGCTTATCTAAAAGATCTAATTTATATGAAATGATCCAGTATGGCGCCGATCTTCTTCTTCTGCAAACGTTGACTTTGTTCCTTTTGTTATCGATGAACATATTGTTTTATTTATGTTCTCTGGTTTTCGATTCCACTTATCTAGACACAAATTTAGGTGAGAAAATGATTTTGTACGGTGTTGTTTCATAAGTATTATATCTTGATCTTTGATTAGGAGATGGCGTTCTCCAGATCGACGAGTTTTCGTTGGATACAGAATACAAAAAGGATTGCCTGTGAGTAATATATTTTTTTTTTGCTTTTTTTTTTAATTTCTGTTTGTTTTTCTTTTCTTTTTCGAAGTTTTATGTGGAGATAGACATAAATATCCAATGCATGTTCATTTACTGTGACAATCCATAGCCTCGCTAATGCGAAATTCTAAGTGTTTTTACATAAATGCGGGTTACACTTCAAGGTGGATATACGATGATAATTTTATTACCAGTACCTGCTTAAATACCGATCATATATCAATATATATCGGGAAAATGTATTGCTGTTCAGAGAGTAAATAGATATCATGAACTGGGGACTTTTAATCTTGTCTTGAGAAAATGTAATAAGTTCCATTTTTCTTTACAGCGAAAATGACCCGGTCGTCTAAGCAGCGGTGTTCAATGTTACAAGAGATAAAATCCGGAAAAAACACCAGCAGGACACTAAGAAACCAAAACAATTAATCGATGCATTGATATAAGACAATGAAATATAATCGCAATCATTTTTGTTATTAAAACCAATTATAATCTATATGACGTTGTTGCCTTTTAGTTTATCTAAATATGGAGTATAGGTAATGTGGAAACGTAAAAGAGTTCCAAACTTAACATTTATAACACGTTGTGTGTTTTACAGATAGATAGAGGAAGTATGGTACATTGTCACGAGAAGGCATAGAGGGAAGGGGATAAATAGTAAATGTATAACACAACAACCATCAATTACTTTAAATCTACATAACCCCATACTCGTGTCTTCGATCCGAATGGATCATTCCATTTTTTCATTATCAAGCTGTGGTTTTGATAGATAGCAGCAATAATCATCTTATAATTTAACATGATTCCCGAATTATTCCACGAAGGCTTATGATCAGAGAATGTTTCAAACGCAAATAATAAATTTAGTATTAAAAAATCATATGCATGTAACTTAACAAAAATCCCACTCGATAAAATTGCAAAATATGAATAAAATCAAGAATCACCAGATTTTTTTTGTTTAGCACGCAATTTATATCCTGGGCAGCCAAAATAATGAGATGTTTTCAAAACAAGAACCAAAGTAAAACCACTTGACACACTGGGATTGTGATATCACAATGTACAGGAAAGTTATACTGCATATGTAAATATTATTTCTTTCGAGGCTACTAACTTTCTCGAATAGCATATTAAAACACATCTATTGTAATAATTTTTTCTGGAAATAGCCTGTATTACTCTTGTCTGGTTTTGAAACGGGCTACTTCACATTATGGTACATTCGTTGTTTATTTCTTGTCTAAATCTTAATTCGCGGCAATAGAAATTCGCCCTTTTACGATTGTGAAATTAAGCCAAAGTTAATCGCAAGCGAAAAAACGAAGTTTTATAGTAGATCTGTATATTGAGTATATCAACAATAACAAACAGGCTTTACGTGGTCGCTGGTTATCAATACGAACAGATACGACAACAGGAGTAACCTTTTTGATGTCTACATATCAAAAAGCAGTGTCCGGCTTAACACAATAATGCTCAATTATCAACACACAAGACTTTTGGCTGGAATTGTCACATCAGCAACAGCTTGATCAGGCTGAACACATTAAAATCAGCTGACTGTGCGAGGTAGTTTAGTATTGACTCTACATCAAAGGATCTTTCCAGTAGAACCCAATCAGCGGATAGAAAATAACCAGTATGCTGGTCATAAAGAGTTAGGTATAAAACGTCAGGATCAACATAAACGTCACAGTACTAACATTCATGTTGTCTAGACATCTGTGTCTTCATTTTTAATCAAGGTAGGCATCACCTAGTATTTTCTTGTATATTTTGGGAGATCCTAAATTTCGGAAATTGACAACTATCTTATATAAAGTTTAAATTCATAAAGGATGCTTTTGAGATCTTACGGTTTTTATCTAGCTGGTTGTGTGTTTTAAGTAAAGCCTCAAATTTTGATTTAATTTGTGTTTTCTCTCTTTAATATTTAATAAATAAGTTTATTTACTTATATCTACTCTCTAATATTACCTAGGTTTGATATTTGAACCTTTTGATAACATACATATTACAGTATATTATTGTGGAAACAGATACAACAATGAAAGCCTCGTTTTTCCTCCTGATCAGCATTGGACATTTTGCTGTGTGTACTGGGAAATTGAAAATGCTGAAAAACGTAAGTTTCTCGTCTAATTAACTTGTCGCGAGTTTTGGAAATGGATCAATTTCGTGAAATGTCATTGCGAATTTAGACATGTAGGATTAAGGACGATTATGATCATGGCAAATAAAATCGTATGAAATCGCCGTTAACGTTTTCCGGCCTTGTGGCCATCTTCAGACGTTTGAAATTCAAACAAGGCCGGAAAACGTTTGCGGCAATTTCATACGATTTTATTTGCGATGTTAATACTTTGATTTTCTATATATACGATACACAAAGTTTTTATCTTCTTTTTAATGATATATTCATATATAGACATGTATATTAAGATATATATTAATTCGAAACAGATCATAAAAATATATCTTTAATTTAGAATTTTGAACTTTCATTCAATAATTAAAACTGAAACAACAAGAAAGTATAATGAAACTAGCACACCAGAAAATCAATGTCTTTATATGCTTATAGATTTAAACTAAATTGAAACTATTCAATCATCTTCGCCGAAAGAAGGTCGCCGAAATGTTACTTTCGTTGTGTATAACCTAGCATTTTAAGTAATACTTAAAACATGTGTTCATAAATATTTAAGTGTAAGCACTCACTATTTTCAGGGATCGTTTGCCGTGCCTTGTAGCTTGAGCGCCTATGATGCTGACAAAGATGGTCGCGTAACCCTGACAGAAATAGAAAATTTCTTCCTAGAAGAAACCACGGAAGAAAAGGCCAAAATTTGGAGCGACACCTTCTTTCGTCAATTTGATTTCAACAGTGAGTATGGATTGCTTGTTCAAATAACATAAATGGATATAGCTGTCAGGACAGTGCATTGTACAAAAGATACACGATTGAATAGGATCATACAATACAAACTTAGAAAAAGATACAGTATGGCGGAATAATGAAGTAAACTGCAACGAGCATCTGATTGGTCCTTCATGAACTTGTGATGCTAAACGCCTTAATTGTTAAAAAACCTCGGAGGAAACTGAAGAAAGGTACAAGCGGTCGACAAAAAAGTAAACTTATCTTTACTTAAATAATTAAACCTACTTACGTGTTTTTGTATTAGTCTTCTGTATAGAATTACCAGAGTTTGATGAAAAAGACAACAACCACAAAAGTATGTATATGGAACTCTCTCTCATAAATTGCACTTCGGTCATGATGGACTAGACAAAGTCCTTATTCTGAGTGAAGTTCTAATGTAACTAAGTGTAGATTATCATGAAAAAAATGAGTTCAGAGCATCACAAATATTATCAGTACGTACAGTTGTATGTATAAGAAGCAAAGGAGGTGTATGTTGTAAGAGGAAACAATAAGTCGTAGACACCGATTGTGAGGCGATTGAGATCTAGCGCCTTTCTGAGCAGAAATATATTATTCAAGTAATACAATACCAATGTCTTTGTGCTTATTGTCTTAACATAATAGTTTCTACTTCCAAAATTTCATCATTTTAAACACCAGAATAAGTAAGCGATTTTTCCTATACTAATGTCAGTATCTTTTTTCTAATTTTTGTCATTACCGTTGCACCAGAACAATATCCACGATGTAGTCCTTTCATATATTGATACACAATGTAAAAGATGATGCAGTGTAATTGATGTTTATAATCTATGCTATTTTGTGATGAAGAAATAATCACAGATGTAACATTAATGCGGTATACTAGAGAGGATTTTGAAAAGTTTGATGTATAGTTATCCAACAAATCCGATCATTTTATCGAACAGACACGCGCAATGCAAACGAATACACAAATAAAGAATAAGACAAAATCAGCAATGAATACGGCAACCATCTGACATGGCATAAATATTTATATCAAGTTATTAGAATTTAAATTAATGATGAAATCATTAGTTGTTTTATTGATTATTTCCTTTTCTCTCTCTCTACAAAGAGGATAATTCCATCCAAGTGGAGGAACTGTATCTTGATAAAACATACCAAAAAGATTGCATTCTGGGTAAGTGTAACGAAACACAGGACTGGAAAATTTTGCTTGTTGAAAGACAGTTATCTGGTTAAATGGCAATCGATCACACATGTAGTTAATTTTGTTGGCAATGTATCCACATTTATGTAGTATACATATTTAAACGACCGGTAGTCATGAAAAGCAAAATGCATTGTATTTCTAAAAGAGTAAATGTATACTCTTCATGTAAATAAATAGCTTACAGGGTTGCTAAGAAACAGAACATACCTTTAAAGTTCATAACAATAAACAAATAGATAGTAAAAATTCTTAACTCTCATCCTGGTTTAACTTACTGATTTTTGTCAAAGATTCATATTCTCATTTTTGCATAGGTTTGAATTTCGTGGATTTAATTGGTATACTTTTTATGTACGCATTCACATGTCCACGAATTAATAGACTGAGCAATTTTGACAAAGTTTTACTATGAATGAACTGCATGAATTTAAGATATCATCTTGAGTCTTTATCGGTATAAATGAATAATTTTTCCCTTCGATTTGTTAGTGAAATTTGTGTACATTGGGGCTTTTAATGATTGCACCTGTAAACAGATTTGACACTTCATGGTACCATATTTGCCACAGACTGATGTCACAGTCCTATAAGAGTATTCCTCATAACGTATTTTCTTATAAGCACTACACTACTGATAAATTATTTCCCCTAAATATTTCATGTGATATCTCTCTTTTTTTTGCCATAATTGTTTTCAAATCCAATTTAAATCAGAATTGCTACGAGTATAATTATTATATGTTTATATATCTTTCGTTCTCTTTTTCAGCCGTTCTGATGAGGGGGATGAAGGGGACGAGGGGATGAAAACCCAGCAAAGATTCAAGTTCATCAGAACAGTCGACTTTCGTGAGCAGGATATCCTCCAGTGTACAAGAGGATAAATAAAGAATACGAAGAAAAATTGTATTTATATTTGTTATTTTCATTAAATCAATGGACTGCACAAAAAGAGTGAATGATAACACCTTCGGCACAAATTAATAAGTAGATACAGTAGAGGCGATTAATGGTTGAAACTGGTCATACAGCTGTTTCATAGATCTAGGACTCGTCAGCAATGCTGCATCATACAACTTATACACATGTGCTCGACGTTCTTTTGAAATTATCTGAGTAAATTTATTGAGTTATGGGACAAGCACACCGTCCTATCAAGGTTAAGATTTTTCTTTCGTTCAATGTTTGTTTGCCTTATTCGCCTCCTACGTTTTAAAATGTAGGTCCTTAGCGTCATTGCCGCGTCCTTAGAGCACGGAACAGCTGTAAAATGCAGGAACAATGCCAACAATATATTTCCTAATTCAAATTACCCCCTATTAAACAGGAAGTCGCTCGATGCCATATTGCATTTCCTTCATACAAAAACCGAACCATCCTTTGTTAGAAACGGTCGACAGGTCGTAATGGAACCCAATAAATAAATCAATAAATAATTAGTGGCGACATTGTAAAATACAGCATAAAAGGGAAAAAATGCATGAATAAAAAAATACTAGAATGTGTCGACATGGACCTCCATTAACCTCTCTTGACCACAACATCGATATCATTCCCGGCCCAAGTAATACGAGGGCTGATTGATTAGTTGTTAGCCTTGCACTGAAGAAGTTAAGCAGGGATGTCTTTTTTCAGCAGTACTGTTCCCTTACTGGTGTCATTTGGTCAGTTTATGTCGAAGATGTAGCACTCTAAAATAAACAAGGCTAGTGACTTTTGCAAAATGGCAAAAATTGCTGAAAGAGCAATGATTCAATTTTTGCATAAGAAAGGTATAGCACGGATATCTATACTGATATGGTAACAAATCTATGGAATGATGCCCCTTCATATACTACAGTGAAAAGGATTTAAGTGTGGCAGCGAGGGCCTTGCTGACAGGCGATTTACAGAGAGAGATATAGTCAATACAGCTGGGATTTCACAGGAAAGAATACGTTCCATTATTACGAAAGCCCTTGCAATGAGAAAGCTCTCAGCCCGTTGGTACCAAGACTTCTAACAGTAGATTGGAAGCACACCAGGTAGACTTTGTTGCGTGCTAATATGAACCTTTTAGAGACAGGTCCTGCCTACTTTCTGCAGAGGTTTGTGACTTTAGATGAAACGTGGGTTCATCATTTCACCTCAAGGCCCAAACAATCTAAACAATGGAAGCACCCTGGTTCATCCCTGCCAAAGAAGGCAAAGAATGCTCCAGCGGCTGGAAAGGTTATGGCCTCGGTTCTCTGGGACGGTAATCTGATTATGCATCATTTCTTATGCAAGTAAGAGAAAAGAATAAACTCAAGCGCCGCGGAAAACTCAGTATATGTGTGTTGTTCCACAATGCCCATGTTCGCAAGTCTGTCATTGCCACGAATGCCATGAAAGATTGTGGCTTTGAATTGATTGAGCATCTGCCTTATTCGCCTGATCTCGCTCCTTCAGCCTACAAATTGAAAAAAGAGGTCATTTTCGATACCCTCTTTCGGTCAGATGATGACGTCATACATGCAGCGGGGGACTTTCTGAGCAGTCAAGAAAAGGACTTCTTTAAAAGTGGCATTGAGGCCCTTAAACATCTCTGGCAAAAGTCTATAGATACTGAAGGGGATTCTTTTGAAAAGAAAAGCAATATGTCAGCCAAAAGTCAAACCCTTAAATTTGAGGCTCACAACCCTCGTAAGCCTCATATTTCACAAGCCATTATGCCCAATAGGTTATGGACTTTGCATGACCTTCCAATCCCATCGTCAGCATTGTACTTTGCTGTCCTCAATACACTATTCGTAGTCACTTTCTCACTTTTCCTGGTCTATAGCTGAGCGTTCGACCTCCACAGTAAAACTTTGGTGTCTGCCCCTTGGCTGAGACAAAACAATCTTTAAAAAAAATTTAGTTACTGGGTGTATTCCCTTCTTAACTGTCAACATTATCCATTGTCATGATAATGCGTGCTACCGGAGGCTTTAAACGGCAGTATACGTTAGTGTTGTAGCACTATATAGTAGGTTTCAATTCCGCATTATCACAGGGAGGATTGCACATACTCACTGAACACACGAACTCGCCACGCACACATTGGGAGTTGTCTTTAAATGACTACAGCTGTTGATTGGATGTTAAGTCAATAGACATGAAAATTAGCCAAAAACAAACCTTAATGACATCTGCATAGTAACTTTGTTTATGTTTTTTTTCTTGCTTGGCCGAGTTTAATTGAATGCATACAAGTAATTATTCAAAAATGTTGTTTTTTCCGGATATACTGATACGTTGTCGGGTTTATATTATAATCTATTTAACCTTCAAAATTGAAGAGTTCTTATTCAAGTATGGCGACATCGAGAGTGGTTTGTGGAATTTTTAGTCGTTATAGACAGGTAAATCCTCATTTCGTTTGTTTATAAGCCAGCGTGATAACCTCGTATGGCTTTGATTCAGTTATATATGGAATTTGTAGAGTGTCCATATAGTATACGACTGCCCACGAGGGCATAACGCGGCCGTCAATGCAACTTTTTCTACAAATCGCTAGGCTAACCTGGTCAATATTCGAACGGGAAAAGTGATCGAACACTTGTTTTATTTTCGTTTCTCATTCCGCAAAACGACCTATTTGTCAAATCTTGATGCACGATAATTAGAGGATGTCATTAACACTTTTCTACTTCTATCAAGAAAAGCTCTCTGACTACCGTAATACAGCTGTCACCGGCTGTTGTAATCAGAATCCAGCAGACGATAGCACATGCGATCCTGCTGTTATTGACAACTGTGATAATAAACGTCCATTCCTTATACTGCATAATTCATTTTTGCTTACTCTGAAATAATCTCAGTAAATAAGATACTAAAAGATCACTGCTGCATCAAAGGTGGACTTGACGTATTTTACAAAACATAGTACAAACCTAAATATTGGTCCCTTCCCCCCCCCCCCCCCCATAGAAACGCACGCTCATCCGTGATTTAGGGCAATGGTTAATGCAAAAAAGGCTTCCTTTATCTAATGAATTATTACGACAATATCCACTTAGAAAGCAATAGTTTGTCCATTTTTGTGTAGAAGAGATTTGAATATTATTCTATAAAAAGACACTACATCATTGTGAATATTTGATATATAAATGGGGTGTTTGAGTATAGGTGGTGATTTAAGTTGATACCAGCCATTACACTAGTGTCATTTGACCATCTGCCAAAAATGAAATAAAATGTGTGTGGGGTTTTAATGTAACCAATTGTGTTCATGACATGTCTCTTCTAAGATTACACAACAATATATGAAATTGTTGAAAAGTGTTTAGATTAAAACGGCTTAAAGTACACATAGTTGTCATCAAGTACTCACAGAGATGTATATAACACAGAGATTGGCAGCTACTGCACTTATTGTAAGAATATGCATGACTGTATTGTCTTCTTGAAGGAAATGTATCGAGAGCAAGATTTGTATGCATACTTTAATTATAGTTGTTTATTATTATTTTATCTGATATCACAGCAATATTGAGATTTGTGGCAAATGATTGATATATTATAATAATAAAACTTAAAAATCTTTTTATGACCAACAACAAGCAACAGAAAGAGCTTATACTACTATGAAGCAGAGAAAGGCACAGATCATTTACACATCGTCAGGGCCATGTCATATTACATAGATAATGGTATTTTGAGTTGATATCTCGCTCTCAAAATTTGGAAATCATCTTAAACAAAATAATGAACAAAAGACAGAAGTTGTATCAATCTGAGACCGAGATCGTGGCACAGGTCGATGGCTATCATGTTAAATACAACTTTGTTGTGAAAATACTAACTTTCCTCTACTTATTGACTAAATATCATTGAAGATGTATCATAATGTTGTCAAGAAGAATGATATAAAAACTGTAATAGAACCAATTTATGAAAACTAAATTAAAATCAAATAATTGAAGAGGAGTTTCATGTATTCTGTGATAAGTAAGTTACCGATACATGACAACCAGAGGCAAAGATAATTTCACTTAACATTGACCATAGACTTTTCTCTTCTTGAGACCTTATATCATTGAAGATGTATCACAATTTTGTCAAGAGGGACTATAGAAATATTGTAAAAGAATTGATATATGAAAACAGTATTCTAATCAAATAAATAATGAAAGAGGAGTTTCATGTACTCTGTGACAACAAAGTGTACTGATATGTATACGCTGACAACACATAAAAACAGCATTGGACATGTAGAAGTTTTATGAATTTCCAGAGAATTAATCTGTACAAATCTGAATCATAACTCATCAACATCACGTAGATGTTGCAGAATTAACTTTAAATATTACAATAAATATTTATTTCCAAAGATACTTTGCATATCTATGTTGTAATTCTGTCTTTAAATAACTAAGTGACTTGAAGTGAAGTGTCTATCAAATATGTTGTATACAATATGGCACATGTTGTCATGTTTGGAAGTCATTTAAATACATCATGCTACATAAGGGTACACATAACATTGTACAAACAGTTGCTATTAGACATCTGGTCATGTGTGACCAATGGTTATAAGCTCAAGAAGGAGTTTCTGATCTCTGTGTTATATATGTTTCTGGTTCTATGGTCCCTCCTTGTCAGATGATCTCGAAGTTGGACCCCAACAGGATACTAGCAAATTGTCAAAATTTAGTCTGAAGCATCTTTAGGTAAAGAAGGATTTGCTTGTGATTACATGATGGGTATTGACCTCAATCACTGACCTTCCACATTTCCCTACTCACTGCTCCTTTCCCTTTCAAATTCTAGTTCAGTTAGGACTTTCAGGTCCAACCAAATTAGGTAAGCAATATAAATCTAAATCTATTCAACAGGCTGTCAACATTTTGATATTACTTGTGCGTAGGTTATAATAATTTTTTTTACATTTTTTAGGCAACATGTTTACAAACAACTGTAAATCATCAAGCCTACCGTCTCCTGTTTACAAGGCATGTAGCACCATGGATGGTTCCAGTGTCACACCCTACCTCTACACATCGCTGCTGTTACCCTATTCAGTCACGGTGTGTAAGTCAGGACAATACTCCTAAACCAGAAAAAGAACCCATCGCCACTGTTACTGGATTACCTTTAGTGGATGAAAAGAAAGGCATTTTAGTTTATGATGGACCAATCACGAAAAATATAAAATTGGTGAAGATCTTTTCACTTTCAACAAGTGGAATAGCTCTAGTTCTTCTGCCATTTGTTTTACCGGACATAGTTAAATTACCAGCAGTACTTCAGTTTATGTTAGGGAGTGGTGTGAGTTTCTTTATGCTCGGAACCCCACTGATAATTCATGCCTTAACAAAGCGTTATGTGACAGACCTGTACTATAATAAAGACTCCAGCACTTTCACAGTGACAACGCTGACATTTTTTTGTCGCCAAAAAGTTAGAGAATTTACACAAGAAGATGTCACATTTCCCAATTTGACAACAATGTTTTGTTTTCTGAAAGTGAAAGGAGCTCCATTGATGTTTTTCCCATCCAACTTCAGAAGTAAAGAAGGTTATATTAAACTTATGGGTTATGATAAACCAATGGACTTCAGTGATATTGAAGGTTTTGGAGAAAGTCCCGAAAAAAAGGATGAAAAATAAAGCAAAAAATCATTGCGAGTTGAAATTTTTATTTCTGATAAAAAATAGCATTGCTTTTATGTTAGGATTACGGTTAACATATTTATCCAACATGTCCAAGCGCAACACATTTTGCTCCGATTAGAAGTTAGGGGACTGGGCTTATAATGGAACACAGAAATGGCATGTAGATATATATATGTATGGTTATTTAGACGGGTACAGGAAGTTGGCCTGGAGGTTTTCAAGATAACTTACAATATATATGATAGAGAACTCTGGTCATACTAAAGAACTAGGGCCATACTAAGAAACTGTATTCAAAACAATCAAACATAGATATAGGAAAACGTTCAGTTTCTTCACAAGTTTTAATGATATGGAATAATACCCTTCAAGAATATGTTGTATCAGCTTCATGAACAAATATGTTTAAAAACAAACTGGATAAATGCTGGGTCAACCAGGAAATTTTGTTTTATTATAGAGCTAGCACACATGTTCAATGGAACCTTAATATTCGAAATCTGACAAAGATCCATAAAATATTTCTCAAGAAATAACAATAATAAACTAGTAAATATGTCAAAATCAGAGATGACCTGTTCATCATTCTCTTTCAATCAGTCCCAAAACGGATATGCACATGCAGGGACAGAGGACAAGCTGTATATGAAGTTTGAGAATGATCACTCCTGTACTGCCAAAATGGCAGGATTTTTCATTTTCACCTTAGGACAAAGAGCAAGTGAGCTTATGCCAAAAGGGGTTGTCAGTCTTGCTTCCCATTTCCTTCCAACATCATCATCTCAATATTTGGCATGTTGAATGCTGAAAGGAAGGGCTGCCAAATTTGCTCTTACCCACTTGCATAGTTGCATGAGGTAAATATGCAAAAAAACTTGAAATAACTTATTCTCAATAACCAAATGATCCATGATAATGATAGCATACTGGAATGAAAGACTGCTTCATTTGTTCTAGGTAATTGGTCAGACATCAAAACCTACAAACAACTTTTTATTTTCAAGAGCTATAAGGTCCAGGGATTTGATATTTGTCTGAAGCATGTTATGATAAAAGGTTACAATTCAAATAAATGTCCTTTACTCTCTTTCAAGGTCACAGGTGTCAAATGTGTTTAAACCTTGAATCAAATTCTTCTCAGTAACCAAGTGTTCGACCTGTAGCTTGCCGAGATGAAAAGCTACTTAAATTATTCTACTGAAGGACCTTGCACCACTTTCAAGGGGATAGAGGGTCAAATGAGTTAAAATCATTATACAATAACAAAAAAGCCTGTTGGCATTTATGAGGTATATGTAGCATGTTTAGGAAATCCGTGACAAAGTCTTGTAAAGGTGCAAAACAGGTGAATAATACATGCCAACTGGACCTCTTGTTATGGTCTGTCCCAAATATATGCAATGCATAGTTAGGGACCAAGAGGAACGACATGAAATTTAAAACTGATCCATCCAGTATTTCTCTAGAAAAAACGATAAGGATAGTTTAGGGTGATTGGAAGAAATCACCATAGTTCTGATGGGATGAAAATTAACTGCAGAAGGAAGCAATTTAAATTCAACCTTATTTCAAAATCGTATATTCTTGCTCCATACTGGAGAAATAATGAAAAGAGTGTTGATTTATAACGCTTGGGACACATAGTCAAAGGTTAAAATTACAATGACAAACATTGTTTAACGTCAGGTATAATATACGTACTTTTTCATTACTTCAAATTTTCGCGGTTTAACAAAAAATTCACTTTATTGTCGAATTACTATGAATGTGAGCTGGCGTCAAACTTCATTCTGCTACACCAAATAGACTTAGATGGACATCGCTATATAATGACATCATCGAGCCCATCGTTTCAATAAACATCTTTTGAAACTTTTCTCGTCAACTGTGAAATATTCGTTATGTAATATAGTTCTAGGATATCGATCAACTTCAATTGCTGCATGTTTTTCAGGATTTATCAGAAATTAACGGTACGTCAACTGTCGGTGTCATTTTGGACCAAACAATTCGGTAAAAAGAAGCTGACAGGTACCGAAAATAAGTCTCAAGGTTAAAGCCAAAATATAACGGTAAGAGTATTAAAATAATAGGATATTAAAATAGTATTTTTCGTTCGATGACAATATCAGAAAAAATAAAAAGGGCACGTGTTAAAGTAGTGATGGTTTAAGTATTGTTTAAATACTACGTTCGATTCCACGGAACAGTAAAGCTATTCAGATCCGCGGCCTAGTGTTATTAAGTAAGTAGTTTATTTTCCATTTACATGATTATAACTTTAAGATTTACGTATGTGACTTCAAAATTACAGCTAAATTCGATTTTATCATTATCGATTTGTATTAGTAAAGAAATCGTTCTCAGATTACTTATGCTGTGGTTTAGATAGTTAATTATCCCTTCCTCAATAGTAACATGTCAGAACATAGTTTCTCTTATATACGGAGTCGCCTTCCTAGTAATATGCCAAAGCCCGTTCTGTTCGTAAGAAATGTATTAAGAGTCGGTTGTCTGGATAAAAGCGTTAAGAAACTCTTATTGATATACTTCAGTATTCTAAGCATTCGATGACAAACATCAAGGTGGGACAGTAAGATGTAACACAGAAAATTTGAATTCTTGTACCATTCCAAAACAACTAAATCTAAACATGTAATGTAACGAAAAGCAGAATTCGTAATCACAGCAAATAAAATACAAAGATGTTAACAGAATCTTAATTCAAACTCAAATTCAATAAAACAAGTACAAAATGAGAACGTAAGTGATTTACACGAAGACTGATTATAAAAAGGGAAAATAAGACCGGGTGTTCCGGAAGAGCAAGTACCTTCTGCTTCATCGATGGTACATGTCATGTAAATCTTAGTCAGCATCAGAAAGTAATGCCACTTTCCCAATGAGAACAAGATTAACAACAACAGAACCACCAGTCGTACTGCGAGCATTAATCATGTAGGACGAATTAAAATACATTTTACAGTTGGATCCTTATGACGACCAGAAAACTTCCCCATAATCTCCATCAACCCATATCTGGCGAAATCGATGTGGTCTCTTCAGTTGTATAGTATTAAAACCAAACAATGTCAAGCCTCCGAGAGAAATTAGCAACTCCAAACCGCAGAAGTTGGGCGCTGCCAAAACCGAGGAATATGCTTAATATTTGTTATCTGTCGCGATAGGAAACAAAACTCAATCTTTGTAAAGACTGGTCAAGTTTAGATAAATTGCCTAACATCCAATCAGCAGTCATTCAAGGACGGGCTCCCGATGTATGCGTGGTGACTGTGTATTGCGTGCGTGTTTTGGGGACAACATGATATTCTCGTGTAAGCCTTGTGATAGGGTTGAACTTTATAGTGTTACCTCACTGAAGTACACTGCCGAAAAAACCCAAGCTAAAACACCATACCCAGTCAAATTATACTGACAACGGGCAAACCAGGGTAATCACAGTAATTAAACAACACAGTTTTTTTTCTACTTGTTCACATTTAATTATCACAGACTACTTGCAACTGGGCAGGCTTATCTAATAAGCTCTGACTGCTGTTCAAAGCAACATTCTATATAACATAAAATATTCACCGTGAAGAATTGTTCGTTGTTTTCTTGGCTGAAGACAAAAAGTCTCGAGAATGAGATGCGATGAATAAGTCTTAAAATGAAAAATTATGCAAGTAATTATGTTATGTACATGAAATTTTTGCTGTTGAAAAAAAATCCTTGTCTCCCGAAGCCTTTAGTCAATGTGTCTATCACAGTTGTTGTCAATTTTGTTATGGATCAGAAACCATCATCATGGGTTTACAGAAATTTGAGATTAATGAAGGAATTAATAAATTGATGTGTTGAGAGATATGTTACATCACTATTTGTAGTATTTCATTGTTTTGACCTCTGTTTTCGGTACATGTGGTACAGAATCAGACAACTTTCGTACAACCTTCCTAAATATTCCACGTTTTTCTGATTTGTCGGAGTAAAAACACAACCATAGAATATCGTCCGACTGAATGCCCAGAGACAAATTATCCGTTTGTACGTCAAATCGGATAGTTCTCAAGTACGTTCCTGTCCCGCTTACGAAGTGGATCTTGTTCCCTTGCTCATCTCCTATAACGAGATTCCCCTTGCTATCGTATACAACAGACCACGGAACAAAACAAGGTCCCTCGCTGCTTTCTCCACCGTAGGCGAAAAGAAATATCAGATCTTGGCTATAGACGGTGATTTTCCCACATGGTTCTTCGTCGGTCGTGTTGCCTCTGCATAGCAGGGCAAGGTTACCAGTAATTAAACACTGTCTGATGGTGAACGGCATCCGTACAGACCATATCTCCTGGTCCGGAGGGCAAGTCGAGAACTCCACTTTACCCGTCGTTGAGTAAATGAACAGATTCTCATGTAAAAAGTCGGGATCTTTTGTCCAGACCACGACCTGCTCATCCTTTGTGACGCAGAGACATGTTGGACAGTTTTCTGTTTCAAACATTTTGTCCGGTGTGTTGGTCGACGGTGTTACTTCGTGGATGGTTTTATTTCCAGCACAACAGAACCACACGTTTTTTGTTTTTGGTGAAATGCTGATGTCGGTGATCTCGCATGAATGTTTCATTTTCTCGATGATTTGACCTTGAAAGTCAACAAGCAATAGTGTCTTAGATTCAGCTTCGTTAAGCCAGGTTCCGAATGGTGTCGGGCAGAGTGACGTGCAATCTATTGGACTTTTGAACTCTGTAAGTACAGCAGGCTGCTCCAGAAATTTGTCTTGTGTATCTGCTTCATTCCTGACCACATCAGCCGAGGTTCCTGACCGTTGCTTATGTAGTGTGCCCAACGCCTTTCTGACATGTTTGGTAGGAGCTTCGCAAGGGCGAAAGTCTATTTGATTTAACTCTGGTTCAACAGGAGGCGGCAGACCAGCACTTATTAGCTCGGTCGTTGCATCAAACAAATCGACTGACGTCCCCGATTGCAACAGTTCTTTGCATTCTTTCATTTGTTTAACAAGCAATTTGTATCGTTGCTTAAGTTCACGTTTGTACTTCAGCATCAATTCTCTATTCTCTTTTTCCATCTTTTGACAAAGACAATCAAATTCATCAGTGAGGACGTCGATCTTATTTTTGCAAATATTTGATTGTTGTATCATATCTTGACGCAGCTTCACAAATCTGGTGTCATTTTCTACGAGTTTGTCCTCAATTGATTGAATTTCATCACGGATTTCAATCAGCTTGTTATTTTCCGTATCATTAATGAAATCCCTCAGCACATCTCTTTTCAGCGGTATTACATCCGACATTTCAACAAGTTTATGACCATTATGTATTGTGATGCTGCAAGAAATGCATACCAATATATCGCAATCCGAGCAATGTAAAATAACGTCCTTGTTTCTGTGGACGGAACATTGCGAGTTCCCCTTTGCTCTTAAAGGGATCTGACATGAAGGAATAGGTTCGTTGGTGGACATCTTCATGAAAGAGTCATAACACTAAACACTTATCTTCCTGCTGTTTGTATACATGGGGTCTGCCTACCCGGAAGTCATGGTCTTCATTCTCAAGATGGCCTCTGCTGTTGACAACATGACGCCGAACATGCGTAAACCCATCTAGGCGGCATTCCGAATAATGCATCTATAAATACACACAGGTATCTAAAGTTAACGTTAAGTGGTTCTATAATGTAGATACCAATGCCATGTTGAAACACTATTAGAAACACCCTTTTCAGAATGTATTTTAACAGTAATTACAAATAAATTGGTGTTGTAGATGTGTATTCAAGTTCTACAATAACTTTTATGTTACCGGAAGCAACCAGGCGTAACGAAAAGGTAAACAGGAGTACACAAATAACTTCATGCTGGTACAAGTATAAATCGAACTGTTGGACGCTTGTTTCTTAAAGACGATATGTAAAACAAATTTTATTTCTGTCATTTTGTTTTAAATATTACTGAAAGCAAGTTGTTTTGTTTAAAAAAAAATCTTGTAATTTAAAGATGGTACAAAAGTTTCAGCTCTTCCAACTCTCGTTGGTGTCAATTTAAGACACGATATTGTACAGGGCGACCCGGGGGCTTTCACTCTTTTCTATACATAACACCAAAGTGGTTCATTTATATATATATTTGGAGATCACGCGATATGTATTTTTAAGACAGTACTACACTGCAAGACTCAAGATAGGAAATAAATTTGTTATACTCCGAGCAACGTGGAAAATAGTTACATTTACTTGTTCAAAAGATTAGCATACACATAAAATTAGGACTGTACGGCATGTTTTGGTTCATTTAAATTATAAGTTTGTCCCATTTTCTTGCATCAGCGTAACCTTTGTACCATCAGGAACAATGATGAAGATATGGAAACTTTTGTACCATCAGGAACAATGATGAAGATATGGAAACTTTTGTACCAACAGGAACAATGATGAAGATATGGAAACTTTTGTACCAACAGGAACAATGAATATATATAGAACGTTTTGTTTCTGTAAACCTTTGCGCTACGTAAGTGTCGTACGAAATACATGAAGTCATAGACGATCAAAGCTTAAAAAACGCGGCGTCGGGATTTCTACATGACTAATTAGAAACTTCAGATAGGACATTGTCAACTTACTTGTCAATGTATTGTAAATATTATCTCATTTTGAAGTCTTCAATGCTCATTTTAGAGCACAGTCAATGAAAACGTGAATATTAATAACAGCATAATAATGTGAATATTGACATTAAATTATCATTTCAGCGACAGAAATTTACAGTCCATCTTAATACCTAACCAATACATTTCGGAGTTTCTACTCGGAAAGGTCATGTGTGCACAAATGTGGTTACAGCTAGACTTTTTTTTTAACGAATTCTATAATGTCATGTTAAATTCTTAGTTGCTTTCAGTTGAGCTACAACCTCTAAAGCTGTAACTTTACTTAAGTTTATTTTTTCACTCTTCAAAATGGGAAGCTTTACAACTAAATATTTTTTATCGTTTCTAAAATATCAATTTATTTTGTTTATTAAATGAAAGGAAAGTTAATTGTATTAGCTTTTAGTTCTACATTAGAGGATTGTACTGTAAGCACATACATGTGGATAGCACCTTGCAGTGCAAATTCAGAGTTAGATACATTAGAGTCAAACAATGTATCATACAGCTGTTCCTTATTTCTATGAAATCTAGGAAGAAACTTAGGAGATTCAAATAAGTGGAATATTCTTACCCGATATATGTTCTGTTAACTTTCTTTTAAATAATAAGAAATCTAAAAATTAGCATTATAATTCAATTTATGGGGGTAGTAAACATCTCCGTCATGGTTTTTGGTCGATTTTGCGATTTTTAACACCATATTTCTTGTTTTATTTCGTTAACTTTTAAATTGTTCCAATTTTTGTAGCATTATGATCACTGTTATATACATGCATGGACATTGCATTTAAGAACTTGATACCCCTACACAAAACCTGGAGTTCTGGGGTAGGATATATGTTTTACTGGAATAGTCCTTACCCCTACACAAAACCTGGAGTTCTGGGGTAGGATATATGTTTTACTGGAATAGTCCTTACCCCTACACAAAACCTGGAGTTCTGGGGTAGGATATATGTTTTACTGGAATAGTCCTTACCCCTACACAAAACCTGGAGTTCTGGGGTAGGATAGATGATTTACTGGAATAGCCCTTACCCCTACACAAAACCTGGAGTTCTGGGGTAGGATATATGTTTTACTGGAATAGTCCTTACCCCTACACAAAACCTGGTGTTCTGGGGTAGGATATATGTTTTACTGGAATAGTCCTTACCCCTACACAAAACCTGGAGTTCTGGGGTAGGATAGATGATTTACTGGAATTGCCCTTACCCCTACACAAAACCTGGAGTTCTGGGGTAGGATAGATGTTTTACTGGAGTAGTCCTTACCCCTAAACAAAACCTGGAGTTCTGGGGTAGGATATATGTTTTACTGGAATAGTCCTTACCCCTACACAAAACCTGGAGTTCTGGGGTAGGATAGATGTTTTACTGGAATAGCCCTTACCCCTACATGAAACCTGGAGTTCTGGGGTAGGATAGATGTTTTACTGGAATAGTCCTTACCCCTACACAAAACCTGGAGTTCTGGGGTAGGATAGATGTTTTACTGGAATAGCCCTAGACAAAACCTGGAGTCCTGGGGTAGGATATATGTTTTACTGGAATAGCCCTTAACCCTACACAAAACCTGGAGTTCTGGGGTAGGATATATGTTTTACTGGAATAGTCCTTACCCCTACACAAAACATGGAGTTCTGGGGTAGGATATATGTTTTACTGGAATAGCCCTTAACCCTAAACAAAACCTGGAGTTCTGGGGTAGGATAGATGTTTCACTGGAGTAGTCCTTACCCCTAAACAAAACCTGGAGTTCTGGGGTAGGATAAATGTTTTACTGGAATAGTCCTTAACCCTACATAAAACCTGGAGTCCTGGGGTAGGATAGATGTTTTACTGGAATAGCCCTTACCCCTACACAAAACCTGGAGTCCTGGGGTAGGATAGATGTTTTACTGGAATAGTCCTTACCCCTACACAAAACCTAAAGTCCTGAGTAGGATAGATGTTTTACTGGAAAAGCTCCAACATAAGATGCATTAAACATTTAAGTGGATGATTGCACAGGAAGGAGAGAACAACAATATTACAATGAAATAGATATTTTATTTATTTTTGTGTACAACATATAATTTGAAAACAATGTCTGCTTCTTCATTCAAACCTACCAATTCCACTGAAAACTAAAGATCTATTATCTGATCTTGGACAGGCGTTGTTTAAATGTAAGGTAGATATCTGGCCCACACATTTTAATGTTGTCCTGAAACAAAACAGATCACAATATTACATACCATAGGCTTCCTGATAGACGAAAACTTTATCTAATAAAACAACAGTTGATAATATCATTTATTTTAACTTTGTCCTGAAGCATAACACAAAACAAATGATTTAATTCGGAAGGGCTCCACCTAATAAAACAACAGTTGATAGCAGTAAGGAATTGAAAGTGTATCCAGTGATTGTTCCTTACAGTCACAGTACACCTGGGTGGTATTACAGTGCACTCTAAGAGAGATTGACATTTAGTATGGGATTTAAAATAATTTGAAATGATATAGTGAAATAAATATGAAAAGGTTCAATTCCCCCCCCATGTTACCCTACCTTGCATTCAGTGTCATTCAGTTGCTCAATTGTAGAAACCTTGATACAGCTTTTCACGAATTGAGACAGATCCAAAATTTCTTGTATGGAGAAGACCTATTAACAAAGCGTCGAATGAAAATAGAATTAATACTACTTTTAAAATAACGGTAAACGAAGAACATTTATTTTAGTTATGAAAGTATTTTGCTGATGTATGCGTAAAATACATGCATAACGCTGTTTACTATATTTGGCTTTAAAACTAGCTGCTGTTGTACAAGACAGACCTGAATAAATATTGCTGATTTTCACAAATAACATTATTCAATGTAAAGTAAATATATAATATGGATTACCTCTGCTTTTTCAAAGTCAAGTCTGTCAAATGCTTGTCCTCGATCAAACATCTGAACTACACTTCCAAACATGATAATGACACAGGCCAAACCATGTGGCATTCTGGGAGTATCAGATGTCTGAAGTTTACACAAAAGTCTGTAAAGAAAGGAAACATTGGACTGTTGTGAGACAGGCACAGACTTCAAGGTAAATTCTAAAATTTAGAAGAAATTCTTAATTGCTATTCTATCAGAAACATCTACTTAACCACAGAACACATAAATAACTTCTATTCAATTAAGTTCCTTCAAATCATTTTCATTAAATTCTGGTGGTGGTACACTTAAACCTGGAGCCCTGAGGTATGATAAATGTTTTACTGGAATAGCCCTAAACAAAACCTGGGGTAAGATAAATGTTTTACAGGAATAGCCCTAAACAAAACCTGGAGTCCTGAGGTATGATAAATGTTTTACTGGAATAGCCCTAAACAAAACTGTTTTACTGGAATAGCCCTAAACAAAACCTGGAGTCCTGAGGTATGATAAATGTTTTACTGGAATAGCCCTAAACAAAACCTGGAGTCCTGAGGTATGATAAATGTTTTACTGGAATAGCCCTAAACAAAACCTGGGGTAAGATAAATGTTTTACTGGAATAGCCCTAAACAAAACCTGGGGTGAGATAAATGTTTTACTGGAATAGCCCTAAACAAAACCTGGGGTGAGATAAATGTTTTACTGGAATAGCCCTAAACAAAACCTGGGGTGAGATAGATGTTTTACTGGAATTGACCTGACTATCAAACAACTAATTAGATAAATTGCACTAAATAGCATACCTTAGCAGTGTGAAGTGTTCTGTCCTTTGTGCTACTTCCGAGGTGTAAGATAAATCTACTGACGTTGGTTGAACTATGTCGGAGAGTACGAAAGGACACAATCGCAGGGCATGCACACATGCTTCTTCCAGAATCTGATTCTGTAAGTAAGTAATAAAGAAACTGTCAACAAAACACATCAAAACAATGATGTGTCAGATTAATCCCATAACATATGTCAGTATAGACCAGCATCTACCTGATACTTACCTTTGTCTCGTCTCCACACAAGTTTGCATTCGTCAGTTCAGCTAAAGCAAGATGACAATATACTGCCAGTATCTGTAATTATATCAATCAAAATTATAGGTCTGGAACAAATGATAATTGTGTTGTTTAATATCATATTATGAAAGTTCCATCTCAAAATTTGTTACAATTTAATTTTACAGAAAAGTAAAAGATATTGTTCCAAAAATTTATCATACTAGTGATATTTAGCAGTAACACTTTAACAGAATTTATGATAAATTTGAAACATTTTCTGGTACATTAGATTGCCTAAAACACATTAATTTTTTTCTTCTGCACCTCAAATGATACTAAGAGAAACTCAGAAACTCACATCATTGATTGTTTTGTCTCGACTTGAACTGAAGTCTCTCAACAAGTCTTGTGGTACTTCGTCACTATAACATCAACTCAACAGTGAATATATTGTAGCTGTATTTATCCTGGTATAAATCCTCAAAAACTTAAAATTACATCAGGTAAGTGATCAAGCAACTTTGATGTATATACAGACAGGAATGAATAAGGGTACAAAGGCAAATCTGCAGTAGGGATGTCAGGATAGGGGTGGGGTGGGGTGAAGCACTCTTAAAGTTTGAAAGAAAGAAATTAGGATAACTTGGTGAAAAGTTGCTTCAATTGAAAGGTAGAAAAATGCATAGGCAGCTACTTATATACATAAAGGCAGGTACATCCCTGTACATGATTCTAAATGAATGATTCTCAGACACTGATCTAACAGTAATTAACACTCCAAAAATAAAGCAGAATGTGAATGATTAAAAATCATACAAAATACGTGACCAGACATGAAAGGGCTACTCAAGGCTGTAAGCACTGACTAAAGTATAAGTTTGACTAAATAAAAGGAGTAAAAGTTTTTGTTTAGCAATCATTGTGCAGAAAAAGATAATAAACACTGCATGGAAAGGGACACAAAATAGTATTCCTACAGTACATGTATACAGTACCTGGTAAACTTAATCCTGTGAAATATTTCCAGTTAATGTAATTTATAACTCAAAAGCTAAAAAACAGCATCATATCTTTATTTATCTCTCTTTATTTTCTGTCATGAATTTCCATACCAAATGAATAAAGATCTTTTCCTTAAGCATTAAACTAGTAAACCAGAGGTTAAAGGTTCAATTTCTAGCAAAGACACAGAAATAAATAGTAATCTCTGATGCAATGAATTCTATGTAGGGATTTTGTGGTAAAAAGCAACATCGGTAAACAATACCTGATCAGAGTGAGGGAGAAGGTAGCTGCAGCAATCATCCATGATGTAGATTCCTCAGGAAGGGGTTCTCTTTTCCCACTGTTATACCTGTGAAACATAAGGGTTTCAAGTCAAATTTTCTTTCATGTGGTCAGTGACTTTTAAGTAGGAGGCAGTTTGGTAGCAGGACTGCAAAAACTCAGTAATTAGTAATTGAAATCTTGCATGATACTGATTTGATTTTTTCTATGAAAAAACTTCCATAGAAATATGAACAGTTTCTTCACAAATATGGCATATAAAGATCTGGAATAAAATATTGTTTTGCTTGTCGCTTTTAACATATGCTTGGAATGAATGTTATCTTGTAGTAAAATGCTGTGATGTTGAACACTTTTTAAACTTGTTACAGAGACACACACTAAGGCAGTTTGACTGCACACTGCAATAGGAAATGTTTTGTTATAATATCCTATATAGTGCACCATGCTACAACAGATGCAGTATTTTAACACAAGAGCAGTAAGATAAGCAGTTATCTCCCTTGAAACTTACTTTTGGAGCCACTGGAAAATTAACATGAATGATATGTCTTCCTGTTGATCTGTCTGCATTCTTTTTATCACAGTGCCAATCTGCTGGACATGCATCTACAACAGGATAACCATTATTGCTGATTCAATAACGTCCAGCAAAGGAAAAAGATTGAATTACCTCCCTTTGGTGTATATTTCAAGTAGTACAAGAATAAGAGGACAACAATATTCCAGTTCTGACTGGATATTCTTTTGCAGTATTTATTTTACAACAAGCCCACATCTGTTAAAAAAAACCAAGTGCTATTTCATTTTTCATAATAAGCCCATCTCTTACCTTTGAGGCAGAGGTTAGGTGTTGACCTCTGAGCTTATTGAAGCTAATGTGTTAGTGTCTTTTATAATTTGCTCTATTAAAAACAATTATCCTGTACATGAAAATTAACACTTTAAATAATCATATTTAATATAACACCTTTTAACTGAAATAACATTAATCACAAAAATATCATAATATTGAACCTGGTCAAGTGTAATCTTCAAATAACTAAATTTCATAAACATTTGGGTCTACATCTTTATTTGGAAGAAAATCTCTCAATGATGATGCATGGAGATACCTGATTGTGGTAAGTATTTAGAATCTGTACTTACTAACAGTGAGATTGACAGTACTGGAGCTTGCAGAAACACTTCACTCACATCTGTATACTGAGCGCAATCAACCAGTCCCTGGCAAACACAACTTATCAGTTTAATATCTTCATAGCTGCATGAAATACTTCATCACATTTACCTGGACAGAATACTTTGGTTTCTTCATCCATATTTAATACTGATTCAAAACAACCTGCATGAGATCAGTTATCCCATCTATTCCCAAAGATCTTAATGCATAACTTTTCACATTTACATCAATCTTAAAGTATCAATTTGAGACACCAAAACATATTCACCCATACTTTGGTCATATTTACTTGAAGGACAAACTTTTGTCATATTTACTTGAACAAGGAATCAAATGTTTACCTGTATGAGATACTGTGTTAAGCTGAGGGAAAAATGGCTGCCATGACACAATCCAGGTTTCTGTAAAGTACAAATCATGTACTGTACTTAACCCTTGAATAACATAATGTATCTATCCAGTAATTATACACCAGATTAGCTTTGAATCTATCAATTTTTAAACAATTTTTTTTACTCTCCTAGATTATTTTGCATCAATAAAACTTTTCCTGAATTTTTCGAAGTCTTTGGTTTCCAAAAATATGACCGGCTTGTACATAATGGGAAAAATACCACATATAAATATACTGGTCATAGTGATGATCAGCGACAACTTAATTCCCAGATAACTTGGTAATGACTAATCGATAAACACAATATATATCAACTAAATAACTTGGTAAGAAAGGACTAAAGTGACTATTCAGTTTTTTTAGGTAACAAAATGAATCTATGTAAGATATTTACCACTCAGCATTCATGAATAAAGTAGACAGTAAACATCAGTATTTATTTTTGTTTAATGTACCTGTGTTTATAACCACAAATTGTTTGTTATAATGAACAGCATGTGTTATAGCATACCAGATTGTTATTGATGACATCACAGCTTGTGCTCAATTCCTGATCAGGCAGTTGATGAACATTATCACAGTAAAATAGGTAAGATGGCAAACACATGGACAACCTGTAACAAAAGTTCAGGTGGTATGTTGAAAAACAGCAACAGAACATGACATTTATAGGATTTTTCATAAAATAATAAACTCTGCTACAAAAACTGCTTTTTTATGGATTGAATATTTGCAAAGTTTGATGCAATAAGGAAGAGTTCTTTGCATAAATCATAAAACATTATTTTTTTTCTTTTATTTCCTTGTTACCTTTTTTATAGGATTTTATTCCATCTTTGAAACTAGCAAAAAATGGAATCTGTCGCAAATAAAAACAGTGAAAAGGAGCTCACATAGATGAATCCTCAACCACTGGTTCAACTTCAACCTAGACCAATGACCACCAAAATCTAATCAGGTGAAGACCTTGCTAGTATGATGCTATAATGGTGTCAATACAAATCAAATCTGTTCATGAATTACATAATGCTATCATTGATGATGGAGTGAGACAGATGGGCACACGCATTACACACAGTGATTATTATATACCCTCTTTACCTATGTGAGGGGTATAATAACAATCTACACAGTACAACAAATCTACAGATGGGTTGTAGAAAAGAAATTTGTATTTTCACAACAAACTTGAACAAATATGCAACGCATACAAGAAAGCCAGACATACAGAAATGCTACAATAAAGTGACATTAAGTGGAATCCATCAAAATCCTGATATACAACAATCTCTGACAACAAACTCTGCTGATCATACAGCACATTGTATAATATTAACACTGGTTTTAGTCTAGGTACCTTATAAAGTGATGAAGAACTGCTTCTGTTCCAACACGGTTACTGCTATGTTGCTTCAAAGCTTTGACCAATTGCTGAAGTAGCCATGGTCTCCAACAATCCTTTTCACTTCCTGTTTTTGGAAAAATTGTTACCATTTCCTGCAAACAAAATGGACAGCCTTGTTATACTACTAAAATTATTGTAAAACAAACAGACAGCAAGATAGTGACCAATATGTCCTGCAAATTTAAATATATTCTGGTCACATTACCATGCAGAATAAGACAAACTGTTGGAGTGTGACCTTGTAATTGAAATTCAAGGATCTTTACCACATAATTTCTTGTTCAACGATTGCCAACAACTTGATTCAGAATTCCATCATAAAACATCTATCAGAGAAACAAAATTTGAACCCTTTGACTTTCCAACTTGTGACCTTGTCCTCTTATCACATGATTTCCTGTTCAATTCTACATTAAATTATCACTACAAAATATTTATCACTTGAGGGAACCAAAACTTCAACGGTGTGACTTTGATATTTACCATAATATCTACTACAGCAGTTATATACAACTTCTTGTTTGATTCTGACCATTATTACAAAGATTCATTGAAAGGCATGAAATATGTCGACTGTACAGCAATAACTAGCTAGTAACCATGAAAACAGTATCTGATGCTCAGTACACAAATTTAGTAGAGGTATATAAGGTGTTGTTATCTGTACAAAATTTCATCAAAATGTCTTAAAGCAATCTGCTCACAAATGGACAGTTAGATTAATGAAAAGTGACACACATGTAAAAGAGGTACATATTGTAGAAATCTATCTGACCTGAAGTAAGTATACAAAGTCTGCCTGTCCTCCATGTTGTAGGCAAGTCCTCATCTCTTTGTGACACTGACCACAGCTTGTTAAAGTCATTGGAGACTGACTAAGCAATGTATAAAGTAATTTTTAAGGTCATGTTTCTACAGATATTTCAGCCAAATCAAAACTATATTACATAAAAATGTAACCAATTTGAACAATTTTACGGTACAGCTTTATTTGTTTAAAGAATCAATAACATTATTGAGTCAATTTCATAAAGCGTAAGAATCGTGGGAGAAAAAAGAAAGATTGTGACTGAAAAAGTGAAATTGTTGTTTTTTCATTTTAAAGAATATACTTTATAAATATTAACTGAATGTGTGGACGAAATTAGAACTAAGAAAATTATTTTCAAATTGCTGAAACAGTACATTGTATTACCAGTTTTCTATTGCAAATTAAAATATGCATGGTAATGTATCCTGTTAGGAACCCAAGGTAGCTAGGCTTCTGACAGAACTTTCAGAAATTCGCAATAGATAATCACTATTTCATATATGTAGGAGAGACAATCCATCATCACTATTTCATATATCTAGGGGAGACAATCCATAATGGCTATTTCATACATTTAGGGGAGACAATCCATAATCATTATTTCATATATCTAGGGGAGACAATCCATAATCACTATTTCATATATCTAGTGGAGACAATTCATAATCACTATTTCATATATCTAGTGGAGACAATCCATAATCACTTTTTCATATATCTAGGGGAGAAAACCCATCATCACTATCTTATTGACCCAGGTGAAGACAACCCATATTCACACTCTTAAATATTGAGGTGATCATTACACATTATCACAATTCTATATGTCCATGGGAGACAACCCATAATGGCTATCTTATATATACAGGGTATAATTACCCATACGGTGATTGCAATCTTATATATCAAGGATAAACAACCCATAATCACTTTCCATATATCCAGGGGAAGACAACCCATTATCATAAATCAATACCTCATATTTTCTATCAGCAGGGCCTCCATAAGTACAGAGCATGCCTCCCTTACATCCAGACCTCCACTCTGAGACCCAATATTCATTCCGTGATCTTCAGATTTTGAAATCTTGCAGAGAAACTTCTGATAGATACACCAACTATGATACTCCCTCCTGTGGATAAAAAGTAATGTATTCCCTCTGAAAACTGGTCACAGGAATATCTTTTTCAGCTTAAGTTTCCTTTGTCACCTAAACTAGATGTAAAGAAATTTTCACATGACTGATATCAGTTGTAGAATCCCAGTACATCAAAATGTTTGGTGTAGGAGCCAGTGGAAACTTTATTTAATTTGCTATGTTCTTTAAATTCAATGATTAAAGATTTGCTTCTGGAATTGTGATATGGTGAATTCTTTATTTGTAATTTGTAGTTCACTAACTAAATCAATTAGAAATGGACATTTATCTCACTTCTTATACAGCCGATAAGATTAATTACTTCACTAAAATTTCCAGTGATCTATCACAGTATCAGTGTACAATAAAAAGGGGTTCAACAAAGGATTTTGACCTGTCTCAGAGAGTATTCAGAGAGTAGCAACATGTTTAATAATCTGGTGTAATTGGTGTAAGTCAACACAGTGAAACATATAGAATTACAGTCCCTATAAAAACAGTGAAATTATTAATAATCTGGTGTAATTGGTGTAAGTCAACACAGTGAAACATATAGAATTACAGTCCCTATAAAAACAGTGAAATTATTAATAATCTGGTGTAATTGATGTAAGTCAACACAGTGAAACATATAGAATTACAGTCCCTATAAAAACAGTGAAATCATTAATAATCTGGTGTAATTGGTGTAAGTCAACACAGTGAAACATATAGAATTACAGTCCCTATAAAAACAGTGAAATCATTAATTTTTGAAGGTAATTTATTTTCATTAAAATCTTTAGTACTATTTTATCTATAAATTCATCAGTAAGTGAACTGTTCAAAGATCTGTCCATGAAATCAAGTATTCATGAAAAGCCACGATAATTCAGCCCAAACAAAAATTGTGATTTTGTAGTATGTATCTGATTGTATCTCATGGTCACTTGTTCCAGTTAATATGGTAAGTAACTCCTAACATAGTAGATAAAACATGAAAGATAAGGTACAAAACAATGATATATTGTTCTGATTCTGTTTATTTACCTTTCATGGAAACTTAGTAGGTCAACATCAGGACAAACTGTTATTTCCATGGCAACCCACTCCTTAAACGTCAGCTGTTCATAGAGTAAGAATATACATGTATCAAACATAATAAAGAAGTAGTATCACTGAACTTGGTGGTCTCAATATTTGACAATGTAGAGATACTTTTCATCTTTTTTTTTTTTATATTTTGTTTGTTTGCTGGGTTCACTACCCTGCTAACAGACTGGGTCTCCTTGTAGTGACTGGTGGCTACCACACTGAATAACAGAAGGGAGGCCCATCATATGTCATTACAATCACATCAGCACAGACTAATCTGTTTCTCATTTTCCTGAAAGCACCTAGGGAGCATCAAACTATGCACTTTTGATCTCCACCTTACGTTACATATACTCAACCCAACTGCGCCAACTGCAATATTACATATTCTTTGAATAAATAACATCAATTAAATTAATTTTCTAGAGTTCATTCCCTTGTTTTAAAGTGATTTGCCAATGATGTCAAGTTTTCTCAGCAACTAGACAATGTCAACAATCATTTTCACACTAACTTTTTTGACAGAAGTTTAACTATGGTGATTACTAGCTATATACCCAGTGAGTGTGATGTTTACCTGTTTCCATGACACCTAAACATTTCTTGACTTGTAGATGATATCCTACATACCTGTATATCTTGACAACATTCTGTGAACTTCTTCGAGCGGTAGATAAGATGTGTAAGTCTAAATTCCCCGGATCCCCTTGAGTTGTACTGATTTCTGGTTTCTGGCAGCAAGCGGCAGCACAAAAATACAAACTGTATAAAAAGGTGATAATGTAACACTGTATACAAAGGATAGATATTCTTATGACGTTGAACTACATTTACTGTAAAATAACATATTTTTTTGAAAAATATAAATTTCTGTTGGCGCTTGCATAGATAAGTCTTGCTCACAAAATCCACTAGTACAGTAACACATGTCTACTTTTCTTAAAATTTTCACAAGTTGTTCTTTTTATACTTAAACGATCTCATTGAACTTTTTCTAATGAACATTGGAAGTACGTGGGAGACATTAATCAGTACTTTGTATTCTTTGTTACAACGGCATGAACTGACCAGAGTGACCAGTGGTCTTGGAATGACTGTGTCCTTCAGGCTGACCAGCTGGACACCATCCAGGCAGCTAAACACACATTGTAGATAGGCAGTTGTCAACCTAAAGTAAAGAAATATGCAGGATCATTAATGTCAGGTCAAGGTCAGTGGTGTAAGTAAAGGTCACAAAAGATCAAAACGTCACAAGGAGCATGGTCATTAGTCACAAGGTAAATAATCCCGAGGTCATCCACAACATGTGAAATTCAGTTTATAAAGAGTTATCAATAATACAACTCACCTAAGCATAAACTGCATACTCTGTGCTGACCTTAATGACCCCTGAGACCAAATCAAATGTGACAGAGTATCAGTTAGACTGATCCCTCCACACATCTGTACACAAGCCTCACCAAACCTGTCATGCTGGGCACTCATTTGACACAAGGTCATGGCAATACCTTGGATATGATGCTCTTCTAGTTTAGAGCCCTAGCAAAAAGAATCAGAAGATTTTATAATCTCAAAAAGATCAAATCTGTAACAAAAAAATCTATCCTCAGGAATCAAAATTTTCTTTAGGGGTACCATCAACAGAATTGCTTAAAAGGAAAATTAATTACTCACTCATGGAGAGAAGTGATTTATTTTGGAGTTCCAAGGTCATGTAGATGTTTTAATAGAATAGAAAGCACTATTAGATGTATTTATTAGTTCAAACTCACAGTTTCCATGATGAGTTTCCACATACGAGTGTACATGGATTTATGAAGTGATGGGAACCCTCCAATTATACTGATGAGCTGCGTGGCCCATGTGAGGTCAGGCTGGTCAGTCTGTAAGCTGTGACTGGTCACCTTACATATAACATTCAGCAACAGGTCTACTGCCTACAAATAACCACAAATAAGACAATTTTAACAATGTACCTCTTTAATTACTTCTCTTTATAAAAAGGAAGTTTATCTTTCACACAACAATATCTTTACAATATTGAACCTTAAACTCAAAAAGCAATCCCCAGTACACTTTTCAATACAGGGAGTACTTTATAAGATTGAGTTTAATTTGCTGTTTCGGTGTGGATTTTAAATCAATCATATACATATAAAAAAACAAAAAAAAAATGCAACCTCTGTCCCAGCGAGGACTGTAACATATACTGTGTAACCTATTTTCATTGTCATATATATATAATAATCTATGGCTGTCTCATCATACCACTTTCGACTTGAGTATATATGAAATGATACTACAGATGAAAAGTGTAATGATTTTATTAACATCTTGTACACTGTATATTGTAATGTAAATATATGTTTCAACCTTGTCAGTTGTCTGGTAAAGATGACAGTGTAGTCATCAAAACATCACACAAACATTCTGGTTGTGATATAAGAACATCTATTCAGTATACATTACCAACCTGAAGATTATGTTCTGAGAATAAAACTTTGAGAGATCTATAAGTCAGGAGAGAAAACATTGCTTATGGTCAAAAGAAAAAAAAGGAACTCTTACTTTCACATGCATGACTGAAAGCTGAGGAGAACGGGCATCAACTGTGACCACACCCCTCTCTGGAGAATATGTTTCAAGAATAAAACCCTTACTTTGAGAGACCTTTAGATCTGGAGGGAAAACATTGCCTCAAAGTAAAAAATGGAATTTTTACCTTAATTCATATGACTGCAGCTGAGGAGAGTGGGGATCATCTGTGACCACACCCCTCTCTGGAGAATATGTTTCAAGAATATAACCCTTACTTTGAGAGACCTTTAGGTCTGGAGAGAAAACATTGTCTCAAAGTAAAAAATGGAATTTTTACCTTAATTCATATGACTGCAGCTGAGGAGAGTGGGGATCACCTGTGACCCCCACCCCTCTCTGGAGAATGTTTCAAGAATAAAACTCTTACATTGAGAGACCTTTAAGTCAGGAAAGAAAACATTGCTTTAAAGAAAACTAGAACTGTCGCCTAGATGGCTGACCAATACCCCCAGCACACTGCAACGAGTCAATGGATAAGTTAAAGTGTTATTCTGAGAGTAATTGACATATTCTGCATGTGCCTGCATTTCTGGAAATCAGAAGGGGTGGAATACATGTTGTTCATGATCAAGAGAGTCTTGTAATACTTACATCTTTATTGAAGTAATATTTTCCACTGAAGGGCCACAGAGACAAAAAAATGTCTGCCGTTATGTTCTTGATCTACACTAAACACTCATGTTTGTCATGGCAAAGAAAGCTATTTTATAATGTTTGGCATCCCCTAATAACCCTAAATACCAAATTTGGTCAAAATTGGACATTATCTAAATTTTGACCAATCAGAGGCCAGGATTGTGTTTCCGCGGTAACAGTTTGGGAAACGTCTAATATGTCCAATTATTGGCCTTACTGAATTACATCTTTTTACTAAGTTTGAATGCAATCGGTCAAATAACTGAGGAGTTATGGACATTTATTAGAAAACTTGTTTATAGTGACCAGTTACCATGGCAACCAAAATTTTCAAAAAAAGAAAGGGGCATGCATATCTATACATGATCCTTAATATTCCTGTAAAGTTTCATCAAAATCGGTTCACAGGTTTAGGAGGAGTTAGCCGGACAAAATGTGTCTACAGACAGACGGACGGACGGACGGACGCCTAGACGGACGGATGGACAACCTGATTCACAGGAAATTTTTACCTTAATGTGAATGACTGACAGCTGAGGAGAGTGGGCTTCAACTGTGACCACACCCTCCTCTAGAGAATGTTTCTAGAATAAAACTCTTACTTTGAGAGACCTTCAAGTCAGGGAAGAAAACATTGCTTTAAAGAAAATAAAAGAAATTTTTACCTTAACATGTATGACTGACAGCTGAGGAGAGTGGGTGTCAACTGTGACCACACCCCTCTCCGGAGTTTGATTTGCCTCTTCATTCAGTACAACACTCAACTTTTCTTTCACTAATGACATCAGCTCAGACTCTGTAACAAAAATTAGGTTGATGTAGCAGTTTTTATTAATTTAATTGCTGTTAATTATATAAAACATTTAAAAATTCTTGAAGAAAGAGCCATAATAATCTTTAACTGCCAAATCTATGATTGTCGTCGTTCAGCCATTTTCGTTTTTCTAATCAGCTGAAAAATCAAAATGGTACAACTGGGGACCAAGTGGAATCTACAATTGAAATTTGAGAAAGATCCATCCAGTAATTTCAAGAGATTATAACAAATTTTCAAAGTCACAATCAAATGTGGCCGTCGGTAAACCACTCTGTTTTCTGATCAGTTCCAAAAGTAATCAGGCACAACAAGGGACCAAGGGGAACCTACAATTTGAGAAAGATCAATGCATTACTTCTCTATGTATTCATGACAGCCATACTTCTACATTTTTTTCTGAACAAGAACGTTTTTAGTATGAAAATGGGTTCAGTTAAGTTCTAAGAACATCCATTTTGTTTTTCATTTAGCTATTGGCATGGTCCAATTCATAGGTCACAGTGTCTTTGTAGGCTCACAAAAACAAGAAAAATTAAAAAAAATATAAAAAATAATGGTCCTAGGTACTTCTTAGACCTTTGTCTTTAAAAGTTCCATTTAAAACACAGTCTATGATTGTGGAGTTGTAGAATATTAACTGAGATTCCATTTCATAAAAAATTATCAAACCTGTCACAAATGTTCCTTTTTATCAACAGAGGCTTGAAAAAATAGTAAATTTCTAAGTCTTGTTTCATAAATTTCACATGAAACAAAATAAAAACTCATGTTGAATAAAATGTCATGTTCTGTCACACAAAACTTTGATATGCAAATATATGAAAGAAAACAGCACATTATCAAATTGATATAAAATCTACATTGGTGATATTTTCACCCAATTTTTTAAACGTTGGTGACATCATAATACATATGACACTATGATATTATGACGTCACAAGGAACCTAACAGGAAACCTTAGCCAATCAAAGTTTGACAAAAATTTATGTAATGTGTGTTATTTCTCTTATAAATAGCTCGGTAGTCATGAGATAAAATATTTTTGTTTTCTTTGAATTTCATTTTACAGATTGAAAAATTTCTTTACGTTTAAGATTGTAGCATTGAGCTGCAGGACCAAGGGTCAGTGTGTCCACCAGTTGTCCAAGTCGGTGGTCAAGCTGTTCTAAAGGATCCATGGTCATTTCAGTGATATCGTCCTCTTCATCTTCTGGGAAAACTCCTGGAATTTTAAAATGAGACAAAATCCAAATAACTTTTCATCAGAAACAAAAGTACGAGATAATTCTAATACAGTTATTTTCTGATTAAAAACCTTCCCTCTGTTATCTTTGGAAACCATTGTTAACAGCTAGCTTATGGAGTTGCTTCTGTTATTACTATTTACAGTTTGTGTAGAGTCTGAAAGAGAATGTACACCAATGGCTATTATACATCATATAATGTCTAACTTCTCAATGTTCATATTGTAAACAAAAATTAGGCATCACAGAATTTGAGTGAAAAGGCATTTAACACTAACAGAAGCATTGAAAAAAAAAACAAGTACCGTTTAAAAAAAAAGTACTACAAAGAATGAAGTTTATTGAGTGTTGATGTCTATTCATGAATAAATGGAACCACAAGAACTTGGCAAAAATTCTCAAACTATGGTCCATATATATATTTATATATTTTAGAGTGATATGGGTTGTAACTCTCGAGAAGGGAAACTGAACATGTTTCTTTAATTTTTTTTTCTAATGGCCGTAGAACTAAGAAACACATACATTACCTTTAAGAAAAAATGTTTGATCTTTCTAATAATTGTTTGATGAATAACATTGGCAAAATATTGACCAAGTTATGACCTGACAAATTAGGAAATATATATAGAAATGGCAAGGTAGACATTTCCTTGTTATGGTCGAAATATGCTCTTGTCTCTTATAATTATTTCAATAACTATGCTGAAATTGCAAAATTCGCACTTGTGGTAGTATACAGTATCCATGACTGTGCCCACACATAATGTGCTTTGATGGTGTTATGCTTCGTATGTCATAGAAATTATACATCACCATAAACATGCTCACTTTCTTTAAGAACTTTTCTTTTTGTCAGCTATGATTGATGTACACCTTACCTGGCTAAGTCCCTTCCCTAACTCTAATACACATACATGGACTGTAGGAATTTGTGTCAAATCTCTGTGAACGGGACCCTGGGATTAAGGGGCAGACATAACACTGTTGCTTTTTTGTGATAAAGTGATGAAGCTATGGCTCACAAACTCTCACCTTGTAAAAGTTTGGTTGCCTCCTGACGACAGGCGGTGACATAGGTAGAGTACATGCTGGCTGGAATCTTCTCCACTCTTCAAACATAAAATCACTTCAATTGCATTACAGATTTTGAATTGGATAAAATTCAATGACTTTCACAAATCTAGATAGACAGAGGCTTCTCAGTGCTGATGTCTGAGCTTAACCAATAAACTATTTGAAAGGGAAAACAACTCACCTTTTCAGCATGTCAATAAATCTCATCCTTATATCTGGAACATCGGGAAGCTGACAATGAAGACAACAAATTACCTTAATATTGTTTTATGGATAGATGAGGAATTCTTACCTAAAACATCCAACTTTTATTTCTTTATTTTCATCTATATGAGACCTGATCTCTAGAAATAAAGACAGAAATGATATTTACCCCCAAAATTATGCAATTTCATGCAAGGTGGATTAAAAAATGTCACTGTAAACAAAGGGCAACAACTGTGGAATCTGCAGCCCATGATTTCAGTACATAAAATTTAACAATTGTAAATGTTAAATTGATAATATCAAACAATTATTCAAATAAGGAGCAAAATATTGAATAATTCAATGTTTAATAAATGATATTAACTTACAGGCCTTGGTTTAAGTAAAGCTTGCATAAATCTGCCAATAAAGTACGGCTTTCGGAAAATACTACAAAACACAAATCAATAATAAAACAAACTGTTCAATCAGAATTCAGCAACGGTTTGATACCTTAATCACTGTTAAGTACGGATCAATGTAGCATTTCTATCAAACAGGAAAATAATCAGTATCTAACCAAATTTCTTGATAAGAAAAGAACTAACTTTCAATCATACTCTATTGAGAGAAAAAAATCATACCACAGCAACCTGCTTTTCACACACTTGAAAGTAAATTTACAAATAGTTGAAACAATATCAACTCAGTAGATCAACAATATTACACATTGGTATATTGTATTTGGGATTTGAAATCCTGCTTGAGGCATTTATAATTGAATTCCTTTCCAAATTTACAATAATCCTTTGATGAATGAAGGACAGAGAGATTCACAGATACAGAGCCAAAAATACAGGTTAACCATGTGTTATAGAGACAATAAAACTAGGAGCATCTAAACTTCTGTCATTGATGTTAAAAGGTAAAATGAAAGTTTTTCCTTTTTCAATTACCTGGCCTCCATCACAAATGATGGAATTTTATTGGTCCCCTCAAAAGTGGACAATGCTAGCTGGACATCTTTCTCTGTCTGCTCCAAGTTCTGTAAAGCATCCTTAAATTACTGTATATAGTGAAAGAACAGCCTTGGCTTTTATCTCTCATGCATAGAACTTTTAAAATTCCACATATAAGTTCACTATAATATACATATACCAGTTTATTTCAACTCCTGCTTTAAACTTTAATCCATATTTTATATTTACCCTATTGTTATGAGAGAAATATGGGCAAAACTTTCCCTGTAACACTATTGGAATACTTGATCTCCACAAATTAAGATATGGCCGTCAGTAACAAAGAATTGAAAAACTTTGAGATGTCAATGTGCAAATACTGTAAGTTTATTCAGACAAATAACGGCTGATCAAATCCATAATGAACACCTACAAATCCTATTCTGAAAAAAGACAAGTAAAACAAAGCAATTCTTTAAATTAATAAGATTGTTGTAACACGCTTCTAAATGTATGAATTACATTAGTTTTCGAAGAGAAATATAAATGTTAAATACATTTTTTATGGATAGAATCTCACTATATTGTATAACTGATTTCATAGAGATACTAACCTTCCCTTTATCTTCCTTCTGTTTGTCACATGTCAAGTCTATGGGATCCTACAATAAAAATGAGGCCTAATGTTGTTGGATTTCAAGTACATGGCATGTAATGTGACATGCATCTCTGACAGAAGAAATAACACGCCCAACAATTTAGATTTTATGAAAAATTATTATCATTTCCAATTTGATAAAAAAGTAAGAATATTCCCATTTGAATTTGAATTTAAGAAGCTTCATTGAGTTCCAGTATACAATTATAGATCCAAACTAGAGATTTTTGAAGAAAAAAACACTATTATTTCAACAATACTTAGTCTGCTTGGTAGATTTACTATCACAGCACAAGTTCTTGATTTGCTAATTTGATCAACCTAAATAAACACAGTGTTATTGATGAAACAGAAAAATCCTAACCCTTTCTGAGTATTTTTCTTTAACATTTTCAAAAGTCTTCACATATTTTGTCCATAGTTTGTTCTTATCTATCTAAGAGATTTCGTGTAATAAGTACTGTTTAGTTCACATGTCAGTATTTCCTGATAGTATTACAAACTGGCTATTCTGTGTAGCTCTGTAAGTACCTTGAGATCTGCTAATCGAGTCTTTGCCAACATGATATAGTCTGTGAGGAACTCTCTACATTTTGGAGGTACAAATGGTGGCCGTAGGATATGCACCTAAAGTTCAAAGTCAACCAATACCAGCTTCATATTCATCTTTAGTAAAGTTATCATAAGAAAACAGGTTCTGGCAAATTGAAAAGATACCAGTGTTCATAGATCAATTTTGGATTATTTGTCAGGCTTTAGAGACCTTGTTTGCAGGTAATTATGTTGTCATAAATAAATTATAAAGTCAAGTTACAAGATCTGAGTATGAAAGCACATGCATATTACCAAAACAATTGCTTTTCTCTTACGAAATACACATCATAAAGATTTAATATTAGGTCTCCTTAATTTGCTCAAAAAATTACTGCCATGCATCTTCACATTGTCATTATATTTACTTCACTAGAAAACTTCAGTCCAAGTCACCTCCCATTACTACTCAAGACAACGATAGATATACATGTACCTTGAGGTGTGCTGTAGATTCATAGGGAACTAGATCAGTGAGGAACCTCAATAGTATGATAAATGTTTTCCTGGTGGTGGTTAAAGAGCGGGCTCCATCACCAAACATTCTCTGTAACAACAAATTTCAAACTAAATGTACTAAAATTCAGTAACAAATTTCATCCCAATCTTTCTCGCCAAATAAACACAGTCCTTCTTGGTATCATGGGCTAATACCATTCAATATATAGCAAATTAAACAGCATAAAGTCAAATCCACTCCATTTGACCCAAAATGAACAAATAAAATCTTAACCCAACTGACTGACAAATCCTTTTAAAGGCCTGTATTAATATCTGCAGGTTTGTCCCAATTTATGCCTGAAATGATGCGTTTAAAATGTTATGTTGACAACATGATTTGTCCACTCAACTTAAACAGACCAGGCTGGTGACAAGAGCTCTACAGTACCTGAAACCAGTCCTGATAAGACATGGCCACATGTGCACCCTCCATACAGATTTGACGAGCCAGAAGGAAAGCCGCTGTCACCTGGTCCATATCAGATCTTTCTAATCCTGTCCGCAGTAAGGTGTACACAAATTCTGATGAAGAAACCAAGTTCCTGACATAAACAACAATGATAAAAAAAAACCAAACAAAAACAAAAATTATACCATATATAACAGAATATCAGGACGTAAGAAAAGTCACCATTAACTCCATATCATATTGTACACATTAAAACAAAAGTGTATCAGTTGACAAAAAGCATCAAAACCTTAAAGTTGTGTTGTACAAACAGTTAAAACAAGTCAATGAAATAAACATCATAGGTTGAACAATATTTTGTAAATTCACACCTTGATGGCCACATGTACATGTACAAACTTAATCCAGTTTAACTATACATTACCTAGCAGACATTCTGCAGCTCCTGGTAGACACACAACAAATGTGGAGACCAGTGTCAGCAGGTGAGACCAATTGATGGGTTGGTCCTGGATCTGTTTTAGTATTTCAATGACTTCCTCCACATCAAACACCAACAGTAGCTGTTGATAATAAAACGCATAGAATGTCAAACAACAAAAACAACATCAAACACCAACAGTAGCTGTTGAAGATAAAAACCATAGAAAGTCAAACAACAAAAACAACATTCTGTCAAGACAAACAACAAACAACATCAAACACCAACAGTAGCTGTTGAAGATAAAAACACATAGAAAGTCAAACAACAAAAACAACATCAAACACCAACAGTAGCTGTTGAAGATAAAAACCATAGAAAGTCAAACAACAAAAACAACATCAAACACCAACAGTAGCTGTTGAAGATAAAAACACATAGAAAGTCAAACAACAAAAACAACATCAAACACCAACAGTAGCTGTTGAAGATAAAAACCCATATAAAGTCACACAACAAAATAAACATCAAACACCAACAGTAGCTGTTGAAGATAAAAACCATAGAAAGTCAAACAACAAAAACAACATCAAACACCAACAGTAGCTGTTGAAGATAAAAACACATAGAAAGTCAAACAACAAAAACAACATCAAACACCAACAGTAGCTGTTGAAGATAAAAACCATATCAAACAACAAAAACAACAAACACCAACAGTAGCTGTTGAATATAAAAACACATAGAAATTCAAACAACAAAAACAACATCAAACACCAACAGTAGCTGTTGAAGATAAAAACCATAGAAAGTCAAACAACAAAAACAACATCAAACACCAACAGTAGCTGTTGAAGATAAAAACCATAGAAAGTCAAACAACAAAAACAACATCAAACACCAACAGTAGCTGTTGAAGATAAAAACCATAGAAAGTCAAACAACAAAAACAACATCAAACACCAACAGTAGCTGTTGAAGATAAAAACACATAGAAAGTCAAACAACAAAAACAACATCAAACACCAACAGTAGCTGTTGAAGATAAAAACAACATAGTATCAAACAACAAAAACAACATCAAACACCAACAGTAGCTGTTGAAGATAAAAACACATAGAAAGTCAAACAACAAAAACAACATCAAACACCAACAGTAGCTGTTGAAGATAAAAACCATAGAAAGTCAAACAACAAAAACAACATCAAACACCAACAGTAGCTGTTGAAGATAAAAACATAGAAAGTCAAACAACAAAAACAACATCAAACACCAACAGTAGCTGTTGAAGATAAAAACACATTATACTCTGAGAAAGTCAAACAACAAAAACAACATCAAACACCAACAGTAGCTGTTGAAGATAAAAACACAAAACAACAAAAACAACATCAAACACCAACAGTAGCTGTTGAAGATAAAAACCATAGAAAGTCAAACAACAAAAACAACGTTAAAAACCATAGAAAGTCAAACAACAAAAACAACATCAAACACCAACAGTAGCTGTTGAAGATAAAAACACACAAAGATAAAAACCATAGAAAGTCAAACAACAAAAACAACATCAAACATACAACAGTAGCTGTTGAAGATAAAAACCATAGAAAAAACAACAAAAACAACATCAAACACCAACAGTAGCTGTTGAAGATATTTAAACACCAACAGTAGCTGTTGAAGATAAAAACCATAGAAAGTCAAACAACAAAAACAACGTCAAACACCAACAGTAGCTGTTGAAGATAAAAACCATAGAAAGTCAAACAACAAAAACAACATCAAATAAAAACACCAACAGTAGCTGTTGAAGATAAAAACCATAGAAAGTCAAACAACAAAAACAACGTCAAACACCAACAGTAGCTATTAATATCACCATAGAAAGTCAAACAACAAAAACAACATAAACACCAACAGTAGCTGTTGAAGATAAAAACCATAGAAAGTCAACAATTATGAATTAATATGTTTATACTCTGGTCATGATTGATGATTAGTCACAAAATTATCCAAACACATTAAGGACCAAAGGCAATTACACATTTGTCAATAAATCAACAAATTAAAGAATTCTCCAGTACTTTTCAAGACACAAGAACTGTTTAAGTGTGAATGGCAAATAGGTCAATCACAGCTGAAGATGATTGGAGAAGACAACTATCATTGGTGAAGATGATGGTGAAATAATTATATTGCCAGTACCAAGAGAAAAACAGAAAATTCAAACATGTCCTCAGCTACCATGCATGTGACCTTCGACCCTTTAAACCTTCACGATGATCACCTTAATATGTTGGTGTGTACATCTTCTTGTTATGACACTAATCAATAATTATGAACTTAATTTGTTGAGAGATTCTCAGATTATACCATTGATTCAGAACAGGATGAGACAAGAAGACGCAGATAACACGAATATGATGATAAAAAATCATTAACAGGAAAAAGATCCAATTTAAACATTGTCATCATTGATACTCTCTAGTGAGGCATGCTGTTTTTACCTGTTTGAAAGCTGCTACGAGACGTGGCGGAGATCGGGGATATGTCCGATCAGTCTGAAGGCTAAATGTTGATATAGCTGTAACAGTAAAGACACTTTTGTAATAGGTAGCTATAGTCTGTATAACTGTTAAAGTAAAATTTATAACATCAGAAAATGTACAATCCTCATGTGTAGTTCAATCTGAAGTGAACACATTAACAATACCCAATGCTGCATATACATGTACTACAATATAAGAATATAACAATATAATTATATGTATATTGCATACAACACAAAATCAAATCATCAAATGAAACAAGAAAATGTCTGTAAGACATGAATGGCCCCATTCCCTTATGTATCATTATTTAATGAATATGCAGCAGTTGTCAAAATGTGACCTTTGACCCTTAACTAATAACCATGTTAACAGTAAGAGGGTGTAGAACTCCTAAAGACATGATACTTGTAAATGGAATTTGGTGGGAAGCTATATCTGCGGTCCCCAATCTACGGCCCCTCTCTCCCTATCACTTGGAGTGTAATAAAATATTCTCACACCAATCTCCAAACCAATCAAATTCACAGAGTTATATAATATACTTAGTGGGTAGACAGAGTCATAACATTACTGTTCAAATACAAATGATTATAATGTTGAAGGTCACAAAGGTCACAGGGTCAAAGAGGTCACAGGATCAGCTGAAAAAATCAAGAGACAAAAATGTAGAACCTTTGGTTGGTCGATGAGTGAGTATAAGGTTGATGACGTGACCATACTGTTTCCTCATCCCCTCTAAGTTGTTTTCCTGTTGTACTGACGCCACAGGTACTATTACAATCTTGCTCTCTGCTGTTGTAGTGTCAAGAAGCTCTGAAATAAGCAAGTCAGTAAATATAAGTAAACTCCTCTGGACACAGTTTATCAAAGAAAAGATTCTGTTTGAAGAGCAATAAATATACACTAGAATATCCAATGTGATGTGTAATACATAGTATATCTCTCTAAGTATCCTACATATATTGCACAACATTGTTCATCTAAGATGAAAGATACTTTTTATCTACATTTCTCTACTTACTAAATATGAGGGAATCCAAAATCACATTGGCTAGCTGAAAAAAATAAAGACAAACGAAAATTAATAATGTGATATACTCTTTTCTGTCATATTATACAGTCATTGTTTTTGTTCAGTTTTTCAAAAAAATTTAATCAGAAGTAACACAACAGTACAATAATACATGCTAAAAGACTCATGGGACTAAATCAGCCAATGAGCGACTGGGATTCTGTTTTACTCTGTTTGAGTCCCTACCAAAATTGAGATTTGGTAACAGATTGTGACCTTGGGGTTTAAATTTATAAATCTGCTTTTATTGGGCTTCAAGAAAATGTATGATTGTAACACATTTCAATGTATCTGGGGCAGATTTAGGCAGGTGTAAAATGTCAAGTTTTTTCACTAAGTGGGTTGTTAGTTTCAATTGTAACTTCCGGTTGTTGGCTTTTGAAGGTGATGACAGTCCAAGATGCCAGTCAACTAACTAAATGATGTCATGTGTTGACACTGACAGGTATGTTTCTATGAATCTAGGCAGTTGTTGAACTTCAAATATAAGTGCTATTGGCTAAAATGCTAAGCAATAACATATAGTGATTGACTCAGCTGTGCGACACCTAAAGGCATAAACAGAACCGATTCACATGTGTAGGTCAAAAATTTAGACATCATTCCAAGATTATGCTGTTTTCATTGATCAAATTTAATACACCAGAAAACTAAAAGAGGTACAGGGCTTTTTGTTTTGCATATATATTTACCAAAACAAAAGAGAAAATCCAAAACCTTACCTGGATGACTGGGTGACTATACTAGCACTAATAAAAACTCCTACATTTATCAGTATATTGTAAATATCTTTTACGTATGGAGTAAATACAGCTTTACCTTTTTACCTGAAGATCAAACTTTTTATTTACTTTTTAGAGTTTACCTTTTTCAGTTGGATGTTGTCATGTTCATTTTTCCCCGGGAAAGCTAGCTGAGACATGTGATTAATAAATTGCTCTGAAATATATGAAATATAGTCACACATTGTACTGCATTTCAAAGTGATGGACAGTCATTTGTTGTAACAAAATCAAAACTTTTCACATGTTTTGTACGTAAATCACTTTCATTCAAAGTGTATGTCAGAATTCTGATGAAAGGTTTACTAGATTTAGTTACAAATACCACATATTTTGCCTCTCAACACTCCCCAACTGACTTCACCAGTACCGTGCTATGTTACTGTAGCCACTCTATTCCACCAATATAACAATATGCTGAATTTCCACTCATACTTCATATTGACCAACTCAAGCAGCCTTCATCTTTAATGTTCAAGGCCAATGACTTGATTCAACTCATTTCTTAGAAGAAACCATTTTATAATATAACTCAGATTTTAAAGTGAAACAAAATGGTTCCAGCTCCATACAGACAGCATGGTTATGTTAAATTACTAACTCCTTTTAACTCACTTCTGAAAAATGACCATTTTACAAAACCAGTTAGTTTTAACAGTGGAACAAAACAGTTCCCATAACACAAACATTAATTTCATCTGACTCACTTCTGAAAAATGACCATTTTACAACAATATTGGCTAGTTTTAAAGCAGAACAAAACACTTCCCACAATATAAATACGATTGTGTCTTACTTCTGAAGTCATTTTGTATTTGTATCTCCATCATGTTGTAAGTGTACCCAGCATCTCTCTCATTCCACTAACAAGGTGGAGACAGGATCTGCTCTCACTGTTACACAACTATCTATTCTCTTACATACCTGGTATACATTATCATCTTCTAAGAATAAACCCTGTCTGCCTATAAACACTACAAATAATCTTAACGAGGCAAATAAGACTGTAAACAGAAAAAGCGGAGATAATGATACAGTCGAAATCCTTCAAAATTCTTTTCCTTTTAGAGTACTGTTCAGGTACAAAGCAGTATTTGGAGAATTTTAGTAGAATCACAGGAACCATTTCATACAAAAAAAAGTTTTGGAGAATTTCACTGTAAATTTGGATGCAACATCTCGACTACAGTAATCAAGGGTGCAGGCTGGGGGTGGTAATTATACAATATCCAACTTAGAGTAAAATAGTTGGCATTTGTGATGAAAATACACAAAAAGTTCATTGGTTTATCTTCAGATAAATCGGTACCAGTAACAACTCACCCACGCTGAACTTGCAATCCTGTTTTACTTCAATCCTGTCAAACATATGCTGTGCTATTGTCTCCACAAAAGACTTTTCATTTAGTTTCCTGAAAAACAAAAACTATCCATGTCTTTATCAACAATAGAGTCCTCATTTAAATATTATTTATACAAAGGTAATGAAGATGACTTTTTCTATACAGTAGATACAGGCAGGTACTGTAATGTCAATAAAGGGCAAAGGTACTGTACAACATGATTCTACTACAAAAGTCGAGGATGACTATCATCTCATTTTAACATGTGATGCCTTCAAAAACTTAAGACAACATTACATCAAAAGATACTATTGCAGAAAACTGTCTTTGTTCAGATGTGTGAAAAATACCAAGGAATTATCACCTAGGTAAATTTATTGTTGAGGCAAATAAGTTCTCTTCCTTCGTCTTATTTCTAGTATTTCACTGAAATAAATGATAATGAATTAAACGGATGTTGTGTATGTATGCATGTTAGTAACATTAAGGAAAATGTTTGCAGTCTTGAGGGTGTGAATGGCTATGAACTTAAGTGTATGGATGTCTGAGTCTGAAGCCATGAGACAATGAATGCATGTAACCATGAGGGTTTGGATGCATGTGACCTTAAGGTTATAGGTACATGAGATTTTCAGGGTATGGATGCATGTGACCTTGAGGGTATCGATGCATGTGACCTTGAGGGTATAGACAAGTGAGTTTATGGGTATGCATATGACCTTGAGGGTATGATTATCTGTGATCTGGCTGGTTAGATGTCTGTGACCATGTGGGTTTCGTGAAAGTGACAATATGGGTGCCTGTACACTTGAGGGTATGATTGTTTGTGACCTTGAGAATAGGGATACCTATGACCTTGGTGGTCTCTGTTGTGTGTGAACTTGAGGGTATCATTGCTTGTGGCTTTAAGGTATGGATTACAGTGACCATGAGGATATGGATGTCTGCGACCATGAATCTCTAGTTTAGTGAATTTGAAAGAACGGATGATTATGATCTTGATGGTAGGTCTGTTTGTGACATTAATAGTAGTGCTGTTTGTGACATCAATGGTAGGGTTGCTTATGACATTAATGGTAGGGTTGTTTGTGAAATTAATGGTAGGGTTGTTTGTGACATCAATGGTAGGGTTGCTTATGACATTAATGATAGGGCTGTTTGTGACATCAATGGTAGGGTTGTTTGTGACATCAATGGTAGGGTTGCTTATGACATTAATGGTAGGGTTGTTTGTGAAATTAATGGTAGGGTTGTTTGTGACATCAATGGTAGGGTTGCTTATGACATTAATGATAGGGCTGTTTGTGACATCAATGGTAGGGTTGTTTGTGACATCAATGGTAGGGCTGTTTGTGACATTAATGGTAGGGTTGTTTG